TTTACAAGCAAGCATTTTATGCTGGTACAAAAAAATATTGAAATCCATGCGTGGCTTTTTCAGAACACACATTTCCCACTAACTTTTGGAAGATCTCTCATTGGTGCAGGGGGTGAGGTCAGAAGGCCTATCCTTCTCAAGGGGAGTCCCTGGGTTTGTGCCAGGCATACCAGGGCCAGAGCAGGGGTCTGCTGTGCCCCCCTCCACTCCCAGGGGGACCCTGAGAACTCTCTCCCCGCCCCCAGCGTCTCAGTTCACAGCTATCTGGGCCACCTCATTCTAAAGGGATTTGAGTCGGTGACAACTGGAGACGGGTGAGAAAGGGCTTAGGGATTAGACAGCGATACTCAGCAAGGCGAGGGGCTTAGTCAGGGGGCTCAGGTGTGGGCCATGGGCTGGGAAGGGATTTGCCTCTTGGCAAAGCCAAAGTGGACTGCGGAAGTGAGCCAGAAGTGGGGCGGACTTTCTCGGTTTCTGCTGTCTTGTACACAACAACACACAATGGTAATAAGAACCGTCTCTCCCATTTGGGGACCATCCTAGCCGTTCTCATGCCGCCTCAGTCTCCTGGTGGCCAGGCGGGGGTGGGGGTGGTGGAGCACCTGTCTTTTCCTCACTAGCAGGTGCCTGACACCAGAGAGAAGGCAGGTGCAGCCACCACACAGCAGGGCTGGGAGGAGGGCAGGAGCCAGGAACCTCTTTCCAGGTCCCCCACGTGGGTGCAGGGTCCCAAGTCCTTCTATCCCTGTCTTCCGGCTTCCTTCACCAAGCCCATTGGAGCAAGGCATTCTAAGAACAAAGCACCTGTCATAGAATGTTCTCCCCCTCCGGCCTGCTGGGTTCAGAGGCTTGAATGCTCTCTGCTGGGCCAGATTATTCCTTGATAGGCACCACTGCAGTACAGAAGAGACGGTGTCGAGGTCCAAACTGGGGGCTGGGTGGGGGACTCCCGGTTGGCAGAGGTCATGGGGTACTGGGCACATAAGGGAGAGGATCCTGGGAACAGCACTGGATTGGAGGTACTGAGAGAGAGAGAGAGAACTGACAGGTATAGGAAGGACTGTATAGCATCAGGAACAGCAGGGAGCTCCCCGGAAGGAAGGAGTTGGGGTAGAGGGGAGGGGCTTGAAGCAGATTACCGGATTATTTAGCAAGGGTTCATATATGAGCACATTGAGGATCTCTTTCCTTGCGGGTGAGAGATAAACCACTGTGGGGGGAAGAAGCAGTAGGCAGCCATGATGGGAGGAGAGTTCTTGCTTAGGCTTTCAAAATCTTGGGTAACTCTGGATTCTGGGGAGGGTGGTTGGGGGCGGCACTGCAAGAGTTGGTTGCCCTGGGAACTCTTTTTCTTCTTTTCTTCCTTCCTTCTTCTCTCTCTCTCTCTTCCCCTGAAAGGCAGAGAGGAAAAGACAGAGCAAGAGAGAGATCTTCCTTCTCCTGGTTCACTCTCCAAATGGCTGCAATGGCCAGAGCTGGTTCGGACCAAAGTCAGGCGCCTGAAGCTCCACCAGGTCTCCTACATGGCTGGCAGGAGGAGTCTCCAACCAGGGCAACGCTGCTGGGAGTGTCTGGGGACTCTGCAGAGGTGGCTGAACCTTCCAACCTCTCTCTAGACCTTGCTGCAGCTCCCCAAGGCCAGGGCCATATCAGGCAGAGTGCAAAACTTCTAGGAGTCTTTGAAAAAATTATAGAGGCTGGCACAGTGGTGAAGTTGGTTAATTCTATGCCTTCAGTACTGGCATGTTCCATGGGTGCCGGTTCAAGTCCCAGCTGCCTCACTTCTGATCCAGCTCCCTGCTTACAGCCTGGGAAAGCAGTAGAGGATGTCTCAAGGCCTTGGGATCCTGTACCTACATGGATGACCTGGGAGAAGCTCCTGGCTTCCAGCTTCAGACTGGCCCAGTTCTGGCCACGGCGACCATTTGGGGAATGAAACAGAGGATGAAAGATCTCTCTTTCCCTTGGTGTCTCCTGCACTCTCTCCCTGATTTTCAAGTAAAATAAAATTAATCTTAAGAAATGGTCTACTTGAGCCCTGTGTGGTAGCCTAGCAGCTAAAGTCCCTGCCTTGCATGCACTGGGATCCTATATGCGTGCCAGTTCTAATCCCGTCAGCCACACTTCCCATCCAGCTCCCTGCTTGTGGCCTGGGAAAGCAGTTGAGGATGGCCCAAAGCCTTGGGACCCTGCACCCGTGTGGGAGACCCAGAAGAGGCTCCAGGCTCCTGGCTTTGGATCGGCATAGCATCAACCATTGCGCTCACTTGGGGAGTGAATCATCGGACGGAAGATCTTCCTCTCCGTCTCTCTTCCTCTCCGTATATCTGACTTTCTAATAAAAATATAATAAATCTTTTTAAAAATGTTCTACTTATTTATTTGAGAGAGAGAGAGAGAAAGAGAAATCTCCCACTTGCTAGTCCACTCCCCAAATGCCTGCGCTAGCTGGGATGGGCCAGGAATTCAGTCTACATCCTCCACAAGCTTAGCAGAGACCTGAGCCCTTGAGCCATCCGCTGGTACCTCCCAGATGCACATCAGCAGGAAGCTGGAATTGGAACTTAAGTACTAACTTGAAACCAGATGCAGGTAACCCAAACAGCATCTCATGGCCACTCTCTTTGCAGATGTTGTTAAGATGCCAGCTGGCATCTACTCCAGCCTTCTCATACCTCTGGAAGAGCAGAGAACCCCGAGTGCCTTCTGCTTTCTGTTCCCCTTGACTCGAAAGTCAAGGTGGCCGGAGGTGTGGCTCTGGGAGATGAGATGCTCACAGACTTCCAGGTTTAGCCCTGCATTAAAATAGATCTTGCATCCACTATGCATTCCCCAAATGCCTGAAATAGCCAGGGCTGGGCCAGGCCACAGTCAGGAGACTGGAACCCAATCCAGGCCTCTCACTTGCATGGCAGTGATCCAACCCCCTGCACCATCGTTTGTCCCAAAGCATGCACACCAGCAGGAAGTTCAGAGAGAAGTGGCACATCACGCCTCCAAGCAGACACTCAGCTTTTTTTTTTTTTTTAAAGATTTATTTTTATTATTTTTTCATTGGAAAGGCGGATATACAGAGAGGAGAGACAGAGAGGAAGATCTTCCGTCCGATGATTCACTCCCCAAGTGAGCACAACGGCCGATACTATGCCGATCCCAAGCCAGGAGCCTCTTCCGGGTCTCCCACGCGGGTGCAGGGTCCCAAAGCTTTGGGCTGTCCTCAACTGCTTTCCCGGGCCACAGGCAGGGAGCTGGAAGGGAAGCGGGGCTGCCGGGATTAGAACCGGCGCCCATATGGGATCCCGGGCGTGCAAGGCGAGGACCTTTAACCACTTGCGCCACCGCGCCGGGCCCAGACACTCAGCTTTGCACTGTCCCAAATGGTAATTCATTCTTCCCCAAATGTATCATTTTTCAAGTTCTTGGAATATGTTAATCAATTTTATACTTCTTAGATATTTTTTCCCCTAGATATTTTTAAAATGAGATCTTTAAGGGAATGATGGCATTGTGGATGATGGCAAGCAGCTGTGATGTTAACATCCAATCATGACTCTGGTGTCAGTTGCTCCAACACTTGCCATCCAACTCCCTGCCAATGGCCTGGGAAAGCAGCAAGGGTGGGAGAGTTGTACAAAGTTCCTGGCTTCGGCTTGGGCCAGCCTTGATTGCTGTGTGTAGCCATCTGTATTGGCACAGAACCAGCACATCTTCCTGGCACGTCCCCTCCCATCCCAGGTCCAAAAGTCCAGTGCAAACACTGTGTCCTCCAGGAAGCCCTCTAGGATTCCTCCAATCCCAGCAAACCCTTCCCCCTTGGAAGACACTGGCTGCCACTCCTCAGGACACTCTTGCTGGCAGTGGCTGCTCCCTTCACCTAGGATGGGGGTAGGGTGGAGGTGTCTGATTCAGATCCCCAAGCGAGCATCAGGGTCCACTGCCTGTGGCACACAGCAGAGGAAAAAGAATGACTAAGGAACATGATGACTGCTATGGGGCAGGGGAGGTACAGAGGGGAAGGGTATTGGACTGGGAAAGGAGGAAGTGGCTTCATGGTTTGGGATGTGGCAAGACAGTCCAATGGCACCTGCTGAGATGGAGCCAGAGGCAGCTGGCTTGTGACAACCAGAGCATCTGTCCCATAATCAGACCTACCGCAAGCCCCTGGTGAACCCATCGCTCTCTGGTCCTGGGAGGGGGCTGGAGGAATAGGGGAGCAAGGGGGAGAAATAACTGGCTCAAGTCCCCTGAGGACCAGTAGAGGGTTTGAATCCACAAAGCAAAGAGGGTGCTCCAGGCCAAATGAGGTCTGGTTGCTTAGGGCATTGCAAGGTTCCCGGGTGTGGCGGGTGGGGGGGGACAGGGTTTTCTTGGCCCCCTATGCCCAGTGCCACCCGTGAAGGGGACTGTCCATCCATGCTGAAAGGCCAGGAGCAGTGGTTCCCCCAAGCAGGGGTCACAGAGCCAGGAATAGCCAAGACTGTAGTCCCCTGTAGGCTAGGCTTAGGGGGGCAGGCCTGCCTTCCACCATCCTAAGGGCAGGGAGGATGGTGATCAGGGCCTGCCTGGGGGCCGGCTCTTAGAGGACCTCCAGCCCACCTCCACCAGAAGGGAAACAGGCCCATCTCAGAATTCAGGTGTCTGGTGCAAGGTCACCAAGAAGCTCGCTAAGGATGAACTTGGAAGGGAAGACCCAGTCATCTGGTCTCCGTCTCCGCGGAGAGGGCGCACTCCAGCCGGTTCCCACTGGCTGTTGGGGTCAGGGACTTGGGGAGCTGGAAGGGGACCCGCTGCACCTGCGTCACCGTCATCGCTTCCAGCATCTCTTGCTACCCGCCCCCTCGGGATCCTTTAAGAGGCGGGGCTTACTCGCCAGCCCCGCCACTTCAGCAAAAGCCTGGGACTTTATACGGCCGCGGCAGAAGCAGCAACAGCAGAGCAGCGTTGGCCAGTGGAAGCTCCATCAAGCTGCCGCGAACGCCGCACGCCGCGCCAGAGCCACGATGAGCGGCAGGGTGGGCGACCTGAGCCCCAAGCAGAAGGAGGCGCTGGACAAGGCAAGTCCGCACCCTTGGGGTGACAGAAAGGAGCTGGGCAGAGGGCAGAGGAGATAGCAGCTGGTGGACCCCGCTGGGTCCTCACCTGCCTAGGAGGCGCCCGGGGAAGTTGGTTCACCCCCGTCCCAACCCCGGCTTTGCCATCCTGGGAAAAGCGCTCGGAGGCAGCGGAGGGTACAAAGGGGACATTTAGTCTCTGGACTGGCAGGCTGGGAGGGAGGCCCTGGGGCCAGGGGCAGGGCCCTGAATTTTCTCCCCTTTTCCGGGAGGTTTTCCTTCAGCGGGGACGGGGGTGGGGGTTGGGGGGAGGGAGGGCAGCGCGCCCAAGGTGGATAGAAAAAAAAGGTCCCTGGAATGGAGCACTCCTTTATCGGAGGCTGATGGAGTTCCCTTTGCCCACTCCAGGCGGGGGGGGGGGTGCGACCTTGGGACAAAACCCCATCCTTTTCTGTGTCCTGGTGAACCCAGATGTGAAGGGTGGGTCAGCCTGATGTTGGAAGCAACAACTACACAAGTCCGAGGCCCCCTCCCCCAGCCCACCCCTTGACTCGCTGGGTTTGGATTAGTTGCAGGGGACCGGCGCACCAGCTCTCTGTACAATCCAACTTCCCAGCTGGCTCAAGTTCTTCCGTGGATGCACCTGATTGTGGGCTTAACACCTGGGCAGGGAAGGAGGGGCTGGACACTGCCCGCTGTGCCCTGTGGGCAGTGGTCTAGGCCACTCCAGTTCTGGAGACTCCACAGCTGGGCAGCTTTCCATTGTGGGGAAAGAGGGTGCAGTTGGCAGTAGTGGGCAGGGCCTGGCCCCGTGGGGAAGGTCAGGCAGAGAAGGGATTAGATGATGATTAAACCTCAAACCAGGGGCTGTGCAGGGTCTTCGGTGCCTGCAGTTTGGTTGAGAACTTTCCCTGGTGCTGCTTTGTGGTGGGGAGGGGGCGCTGAGTGCTGGGCTGCCCTGGGACGGGGGCCTAGGTGACTGGCTCTCACTGGTCCCCTCGGGGGGTGTGCTGAGGGTCAGTGACTAGGGAGAGGTGAGTGGCTGGGGAGCAGGTAACCCAAGGAGTGCCCACACAGCCTGCTTTACTACAGGGCAGTGAGAGGCTGGAGGGGGCGTGGCCGCTGTGTGGGGTCATTGTCCACCTGCCTTGTTTGTCACCGCTGGGGCTGTCTTCTTTCTCTCTCACTGGACCTCTGGCCTTCCTTCTGCCTGTGAAGCCATGTGAGCCCAGCCTCCTCCTGGTCTCTGTTCTTTACTCACTGCTCGTGTGCCATCCCAAAGAGGGTGGAGGACCATGTGCTGGGGACTCAGAGCGACTCGTCTGTGCATCCCAGCCCTGCTCGTTACCAGCTATTTGAGGTTGGACTTGACCATCAGCCTCTCTCAGCTCTCTCTCAGTTACCCCTCAACTCATGCCCAGCTGTGTCTGACATGGACACCAGGGATATCCCTAGGGGTGCTCTGAGTGAGGAATAAATGATAGCCAGGACCCATACCAGCGCCGGGCACCTGGGGATCGCTGGGCACCCCAATGACGTTGATTGTGGTGCAAAGGGCCTGCTGTGGCAGCTGCCTGCTCTGCCAGGATCTGCAGAGTGGAACCATGCTAAAGAGGGTCCGACCAAGGCCCCACGGTGGGGGCCAAGCCCCCCTGGCAGAGGGTGGAGGGAGCAGGACCCACCACTCACCCAGCTGCCTCTCCCTGCAGTTTCGGGAGAACGTTCAAGATGTGCTGCCCTCTCTGCCCAACCCAGATGACTATTACCTCCTGCGCTGGCTCCGAGGTGAGGCAAGAGACGCTGGGGGTGCAGGGGACAGAGTTGGGAGTAGGGGCAAGATGCTTGTGCTGGGTCACAGAATGACAGCCCCTGAAAACCCCGTTTGTGGCAATGTGAGCCCAGGAGATGCTTAGCCGTGGTAAAAGCCTCAACCCTCCCACTGGATACAGACGCTGAGATTCAGAGAGGGGGACTGACCTGCTCTAGGTCACATGGGAAGCCAGGGGCATGTGGAGAACCCAGCACACCCCCTCCTGTCCACTCCAGAAGTCTGCTGTGCCCATGGACTTGGGGGAACGAGGCTGAGAGGAGAGGCCGATCTGAGAGAGAGAAGGCAGGCAGAGCCCTGGGAGAGACTGCTGCTGTCTGTGCCCTCCCGGGTGGCCCGTCTGGCTGTGGCACCTGCTGGGGCAGCTGGCTGAGCCGGGATGCCCTGCCTGTTGCCAGCTGAGATACAGAGCCCTGCCTGGGTTCGGGAAGCCCACGTGTTTCTGGCAGCTCCATGCTCAGGCTCAGACCCGGCCCCCAGCTCCCGGGAATTCCTTCCATTCTTTTCCCTCTCTCTCGCCATTCAAGTCATATGCCACCTTCCCCGCTCCTTCTGACACATTTTGTTGCCCTTTGTAGAAGCTTTATCTCTAGACTTTGAAATCCTAAAGCAAATTTCCTCTATCTTAGATTGACAGAGCCTACGTTGTGATAGCAAAACATAGTTCCCGATACCCAGGGATAAATCCTGCCCTTGTGAGTGATGTATGGACATGGACACACAAACACACAGTCATGCAATCTCACACACACTCATCACACACTCACACTTCCCATCACACACTCACACACATAACCCTCACACACACTGACAGAATCTCAGCAGTCTCACACACATGCACCATCACACACTTATCCTCTTGCACACCCACCCACACCTTCTTCTATACACAGTCCTCATGTACTTCACACCCGTGCTTACATAATCACATCCACTCCTTACACATCCTCACTCACACACCCACACAGTCACACTCAGACACTTCCTCACACACACACCTTCTCATCCATACTTACACAGTAACACAACCCTACACACACTCCAACACACATACATTCACACGCCCTTACACATATTCACAGACACACTCCTGCACGTCAGCAGTCTCAAGCCAGGTGAAGAGATGAATGTTTCTTTTCTTTCCAGAAAAGTATTTTGGCTGGTTTGCCTTTAAAGGGGCTGCCAGTGACCCCAGAGGGCAGGGAAGCCCTAGGCCCTCTGAAAGCCTCCGTTGTCCTTTTTCCTCTACAAATACTACAGTGTCCCAGCTCTGGCATGCCCGGAGAGGGTGGCACCAGGCCAGGCAGGAGGAAATTTGGCGCCAATGTTTGCTGAACCCTGGAGCAAAGGGTGGGTGGATGGGGAGAGTGGAACCTCGTGGCCTCCTTAAAGAGCCAGGCAACGTGCGGACACACCACGCAGCGGCCTGCTGTTAGGAGCATGGTTTCAGAAAATGCTGGAACGACCACTCTGGCTGGTTGGCCTTGATCTAGATACAGGTCTCCTGGCTGCTGGTCTCCCAGACCTGACCTGGGGTCACCCATCTTCCCGGAGTAACCAGCACCCTCTGCCTACTCTTGAGGAATAAATAACACCGTGTCGGCCATCCCATTTGCCAGATGGCAAAGCCGAGGCCCGTGCAGGGGCCCTCCCTGCCGGCACACAGCAGGGCAGAGTGGACTCTGGGATGTGGGTCAGCAGTCCTTGTAGGAAGCTGCGCACGCCTTCGGGTAAGCTGCAGGGGCCTCTGCTGCCACGCTGTGCTCCTTGTAGCCCAGGCCGGGTCCCCTCTGTATTCTGCTGGTGTCTCCCAGGCCCTAGGCAGGAGCACCAACCCAGACCGGCCTTATGCATTCCAATGAGGGTCATTGTTGTCTTTTGCTTTTTCCCAAGTAGCGACAATAACAAAACCTTTTTCTCTTTTTCCCGTTTGATTCTGAAGGAGTCATTTACAGGCCCTACACCTAGGTGGGAATTTGGGGACTCAGGGTATTTTTTTATTATTATTTGTGTTTATTGGAAAGGCAGAGAGAAGGAGAAACAGAAAGATCTTCCATCTGCTGATTCATTCTCCATATAGCCACGTGACTTGAGTTGAAGCTATGTGAAATCAGAAGCCGAAAGCTTCTTCCAGGTCTCCCATGCGGGTGCAGGGTCCCAAGGCTTTGGGCCGTCCTCCACTGCTTTCCCAGGCCACAAGCAGGGAGCTGGATGGGAAATGGAGCTGCTGGGACATGAACCAGCAACCATATGGGATGCTGGCACTTGCAAGGGTAGGATTAACTTGTTGAGCCATTATGCCAAGGACTGGTTCAGGGTTTTTTGTTTGTTTGTTTATTTGTTTTTTGGTTTTTGCAAGGTCCCCTACTTGCCTAAGCAGTAGGGTCAGGGTCCTCACTGTCTCTCTCAAATTGTGCCTGAGCTCTGAGAACTGCAGTGAGGAGAATGGGACAGCAATGCATGATATAGCAAAATGATAGGAATCTTGGGGCATCTCTGGTGGTGCTCCCGGCCACACCTGACCTGCCTCAGGGACCCTGGAAGGCCTGATTCAGCAGGCACCGGGAGGGACCAGGGAGCAGGTGGCACTTCGCACACAGCTTTGGAAGACTCTGGATGTTGGACCCTGGTTGATAAGGGTTAGGTGGACAACCTCCCCAAGATAATGGGGCTCACAGTTCAACACCACTCCTGTTCCCTGGGATGTCCTTCCTACCCACGGAGTTTCAGGCTCCTTGTTTTGGCCTGGCCCAATCCTGGCTGCTCCTATCATGGGGAGGGTGAATCAGCAGATGGAAAATCTCTCTTTCTCTTCAAATATATGAATCATCTTTGAAAAAATAATAATGAGTACAGATGGCTATTCCGATTTCCCAAAGAACAAGTGGTCTTGGCTGCATGTCAGGGGTCAGGCCCAGGATCCAGTGCGTGTCCCTGTGAATTGTATGTCTGAAGCCACGTGCGGGTCCTTTGAGGATGTGGCAAGCTGGTGGGCACCTGGCAAACCCCTCCATCCATCTGGAAGGTTCTGTCAGATGTACCACAGATTACAGGATGGCTGTGTTCATCTTATTTAAAAATATATATATTTATTTTTAATTGTAAGGCAGTTACACAGAGAGGAAGATCTTCTGTCTGTTAATTCACTCCCCAAGAGGCCACATTGGCCAGAGTTGCGCGGATCCAAAACCAGGAGCCTGGAGCCTCTTTTGGGTCTCCCTCACGAGTACAGGCTTCCAAGCTTTGGGCCATCCAGCTTTCCTAGGCCACAAGCAAGGAGTTGGATGGGAAGCGGGGCTGTCGGTGTCCTTAGGGGATCCCAGCACGTGCAAGGCAAGGACTTTTGCCGCTAGGCTACTGCACTGGGCCCATGTGTTCATCTTTGAACTGTGATTCTGTTTCTTACGACTGGACATTAGACAGTGGAGATAAGGTTTATCCTCCTCCAGGGGGGCAACCAAACGATAAGAGGGGCCAGGGTTCACTTTTCTGGAGATAAACCCCTTAACTTGCGTGCATACACTGGCGTGAACTTTTTTGACCCTGACATTGCCATGAGTCTCCAATCACCCTGACCCCTGACCTACAGCTCCCACAAACCCAAGAGATGTGTGGAAGGTCCTTCCCACAGCAACTTCTTCCTGGGGATAGGAAGCCAGGGGGTATGGTCTGAGAGTCAGTGGGGGAGTGATGGGAGTGGGGTGTTGGGGGTTCTGACCCAGCATGAGACCCCTGGAATTCTCTCCTACCTGGAGAAACCCTCATTGTTGGCCCGGGGCCGTGACCATGTTTCCTTGTTGCAGCAAGAAACTTCGATCTGCAGAAGTCAGAGGCCATGCTCCGCAAGGTGAGAGCTGCTTGTCTCCAGGTCCTGTTGTTGGGTCAGTTCTTCCCCACAATCAACCCGCTTCAGCCTGCCTTGGCCTGTGGCCTGTGGCTTAGGCATCTGAGTATTTAGCCACCAGTGTGGCTGTATCCCTCCCAGCCCGGGTTGTCCCCTTTCCCTGCCAACACAGAAGTTTTTACAGGGCTGGGTAAGCAGCTATGCTGGCCGAGACTTCTAAAACCTGCCAGGAGTTTTAGAATCCATTCCTGTCGGTTGTCCTCCCATGTACGCTGTGGTTGGGGCCACCTGTCCCTGCTGTCGCTGGTTGCTGGAAGCCTGTGAAAACCCCTCCTCTGCTCCTGCTCTTTACATGGTGTGTTTTGCAGCACGTGGAGTTCCGGAAACAGAAGGACATTGACAACATCATTAGCTGGCAGCCTCCGGAGGTGAGGCACTGACTCTTCTGCCCTGCTTCCACCCTGTCCACTCACGAGGCTGTGGGAACCTTGATGGCTCCCAGAATGGATGTCCCTAAGGCACCAGGGGTGGGAGGAGCTGAAGAGGAAGGGCCTGAAGGGATGACTGGGATGTACTGAGCAGGTGCCTCCCCGCTGCCCCTAACCCTGCCCCGTCCCTGCCATCTGTGTCCAGGTGATCCAGCAGTATATGGCTGGGGGCATGTGTGGCTATGACCTGGAGGATTGCCCGGTCTGGTATGATATCATCGGCCCTCTGGACGCCAAGGGACTGCTGTTCTCGGCCAGCAAGCAGGACCTGCTGAGGAGCAAACTGCGTGATTGTGAGTTGCTTCAGCAGGAGTGCGCCCGCCAAACTGCGAAGGTGAGTGTGGCCAGGATGGGGCTGCCCACGGTGGCCAGTGCGCGAGCCAGTAGGGCGGCCAGTGTGGGTTTCAGATTTTATAAATAAGTGGCAGTTCTGAGTTGTAGAATTTGACATCCTGTTGCCCAATCTTTACCTTTCTTTGGGAGTCTTAAAAAAAATTTAACCACCTGTTTTTTGTGAAAGACACACTGCAAAATGGTAGGACTTGCATCATCAGAATAAAAGACAGTCCTTTAAAAATTAAACAAAAACTGTTCACTTCCTGGAAAGGCAGAGAGATAGGAAAAGAGAGAGAGAGAGATCTTGCATTGCTGGTTCACTCCCCAGATGCCTGTAATAGCCAAGCTGGGTTAAGTCAAAGCTTCTTTCAGGTCTCCCACGTGGGTGGCAGGGCCCAGGTACTGCGGCCGTGCTCTGCTGCTCTCTAGGCTGCACTAGCAGGGAGCTGGATGGGAAGCAGAGGTGCTGGGACTGGAGCAGGTGATCTGAATGAGTTGCAGGTGTCTCAAGCAGTGCCTAGGTCCCCTGAACCCTGATGTCTGTCCTCTGTCGTCCTTTAACAGAAAACATTGAGCTTCATTATGCCTTATGGCTTTCCTCATTGATCTGTGGCCCATGTAATCTTAATAGGAAGCATTTGACATGGCAGCCCCCTTGAGGACTTGGGGGCCAGCCAGGGCAAAGCACCTCTGAGCCATTGTGAGCTCAGGATGTCCACCTGCCCAGCAGTAGGGACCCCGGAGATCCTGGATCCATCCAGTCATTTACTGGATGAGAACTTGGAGACCCAGGCCAGGCAGAGGGAATTACACAGGCTATAGTTCTAGCCAGGGTCATGATCTCGGAATGGAAAATTCTGGGCCCCATTTGGTTGCCCCAGGAGTGTGAGGCAATACCAGCATCGTCATTGGGGTGGGCCTGCCCCCCGACCACCACCCTGTGACTTTCTCCTTTCTTTTACAGTTAGGAAAGAAGATAGAGACTATCTCTATGATTTATGACTGTGAGGGCCTTGGCCTCAAGCATCTCTGGAAGCCTGCAGTGGAAGTCTATGGCGAGGTGAGTGGAGAGAGGGAAACTGGGGGAAGGGAGAGGAGAGATGGACCCTTCCATAGTGGGGGTGGCTGGGGTGGGGGATGGAGTCTAGCCTGCAGTTGTCTCTAGCATCCAAGTTGCGCTCTCTCCACAGTTCCTCTGCATGTTCGAAGAAAATTACCCAGAGACACTGAAGCGCCTTTTCATTGTCAAAGGTAGGACCAGGCATTCCACAGTGAGGGAGGGGCTGCAAGTATGACCAGGGGGTCCAATTCAGCAGAGGAGGGAGAGTGGGCCAAGAAGGTCAGGGGCAGAGCTAAGAACGTGTCCAGAAGTCAGACCCTTGGCACCTGTGCCCTCTGTGGGGCGTTCCATGTGGAGTCCCTCCTCTGAGCCACCCAGTTCCGTGAGTCAGGAAAGGAGCAAGTTGGCTTCTCTGCTGTGGGAAGCAGGGAACTGGACCTCAAAGACAGGCTGTGCACAGGTGACCCCGACATGGTCTGGGAATGCTTTAGACAACTGTCCCTGATTGGGGCGCCCTGAGTGTGGTTCCTGGTCTCGGTTCCAGCACCCAAGCTGTTCCCTGTGGCCTACAATGTCATCAAACCCTTCCTGAGTGAGGATACTCGCAAGAAGATCATGGTCCTGGGAGGTGAGTGGCCCAGATGGAGTGGATGGATGTGGGGTGGCCTCTGAGGTTACAGTTACTAGGCTGAAGGCTGCCTTGGCTGACCTGAGAGCAGCAGGTGGAGCCGCTTCCATGCTGTTTTCCAACAACAACAACAACAACAACAACCATAACAACAACAAAAAAGAGTTATTTCTTCATTTGGAAGACAGAGTTACAGAGAGGAGAGACAGCACTTCTATCTGCTGGCTCTAACGTCAAGAGCCAGGAGCTTCTTCTAGGTCCCCACATGTGGGCAGGATCCCACGGCTTTGGGCTGTCCCCCGATGTTTTCCCAGTCATGCCAGCAGGGAGCTGGATTCAAGTGGGGCAGCCAGGACTCAAACCAACATTCGTATGGAATATCAGTGTCGGCTTTACAAGCTGCGCTATGATGCCAGCCCCTCTCAGATGGTCTTGAAGCAAGCACTGGATTCCCCAATGCAGATGCAAAAATGATTGCAACACTAGTCCTGTCCTCAAGGTGCTTATGGCATTAGCGGGGCATGGTACGGGGAGAGGAACCAGACAGGCAAAGCTCTGACAGGCTGAAGGGCGCACAGAGACTGTACCCTGGAGGTCACTGTAGCAGACTAGGGTGGCTCTCAGTTTGGGGACAAGCAAGGAGTGGCTTTGTAGGATGAACACCTCCTGCAGGCGAGGCCATGGAGTGAGAGCCACGGCTGCAAAGACGAATATCTAGAGCCCCTAGGGAAGCTCCTGGGTTCAGGTGTGGAGCGAGGGAGAGAGGGAGGGATAGCCAGCCACGTGCTATGGTCTGTGCAAGCAACAGGAACCACCAGGGGCCTGGGACTTCTGAGCAGAGCCACTGCCTCCCCACCCCCGAGCTAGAGAGGAGGCATGGCCCAGAGCTGCCCACTGCAGAGTGACCGCAGATGGGGTGGAGCAAGGCATAATGCTGCCCGGCAGAAGGAGGGGTGTTGAGCCAAGACCTTCCCCACCCCGTGTGGCACAGGCGGTTGTTAGGGCAGGAGAGGCAGGGTGTGGCAGGGGAAGAGGCTGGAGGGAGGGAGCCACGTTGCACAGAGCTCTCGGCCGGGGAGTGCACCATCAGATTTTGCAGCAAGAGACCTTGTGCTGGCACGGAAGGCAAGGGCGGGGCGGGTGCCAGTTTGCATGCTGTTGCCCTAGGTGATGCAAGAGGTTACTGTGGGCTTGAACTGGAGGAGTGGCAATAGGGACAGGGAGAGAGGATGGACTTCAGACTGATTTAGGAGAGGCTGGCATTGGGGTGTGGCAGGTTGGGTTTTCTTTTTTCTTTCTTCCTTCCTTTTTTGGACAGTATTTGTTTATTTGAAAAGCTGAGTTACACAGCAAGATGGAGAGGCAGAAAGTGACAGATCTTCCCTCTGCTGGTTGACTCCCCACGTGGCTACAACAGCCAGGGCTAGGCCAGGTGTCAGGAGCTTCTTCTGGGGTTTCCCATGTGGATACTGGGGCACAAGGACTTGGGCCATCTTCTGCTGCTTTCCCAGATGTATTAGCAGGGAGCTGGATCAGGAGTGGAGCTGCTGGGATTCAAACTGGTATCCCTATGAGATGTTGCCACCACAGGCAGAAGCTTAACTTGCTGTGTCACAGCACCAACCCCAATCAATCTTTTTAAATCAATTGATTTAGGAAGTAAAATAACAGAATTTAATCAACCAGGTGTGGGGGGTAGAAGGCATCTAGAATGACTCCTTGGTGTCTGGTACACGGGATGGAGCAGGCTTGTGGTGATGCACTGGACACTGGGAAAGATGAACCTGAAGTTGACTTTGAGGGGGTTTGGGAGCCTTGAGGCAGCAGCTTATGGGAGAACTCCGACCTGGAGATCCCAGTTGTCAGGAAAGGCAGCAGCTGAAACCTTGAGCAAGAAGTGTGGTGGGGTTCAGGCCAGGGCAGGCAGGGTAAGAGGAGCCACTGGGGGTAACTGGGGAGAAGTGATGAAGGATGTTGGCAGGAGAAGCAGGCCAGTGGGGCTTGGGTACCGAGGGGAGCGGGCACAGGTTCCTGGGAGTGGGGGATGATGCCTCCTGTGGAATTGAACTTAGGGTGTGGGGAATTCTGAAGTCTTGTGTGTGACCCTTCCTGGTGTGTCTGTGTATGTGAGTGTGTGTGTGTGTGTGTGTGTGTGAGAGAGAGAGAGAGAGAGAGATCTTGGGAGTAGAGAGAGGACACCACCACCATGTAGGACTCCTGGTTTCTAGAACCAACTCTGGCAGCAAGAGAGTCTTCTCGCAGCCTTGTTCTCTCTCTCTCTGTAAAATGGGAAGCACACTGCACCCTGGGCCATACCCCACATCTCCTGCCTGTCTCTGTCTTGGGCTCCTTGTGGCCGCTGCCACACACCACCCGCATGTGTAAGACAAGGTTTGGTTGCCCTGGCAGCAGCAGAGCTCTGTGGGAAGTTCACACTGTTTTCCTGCCCACTCCTACAACTCTTTCAACCAAATCTGCCTCCAGGCAGATGGGTGGATGGGACTGAAGGGATCTCCAACACTGAGAGCCGGGACTTGGAAATTCACTGTGGGCTGGTCTGTGCAGCTTTGCAGCACCCTGAGATCACCTCAAGGGCCACAGTGTATGGTTCCAGGAACTGTGTGGTCTCAGGACCCTAAAATGCCAGGTGTAGGGAGGTAGGGAAGCCATGGCTTGCTATTGAGGTGTCCCATGGCCAAGTGTCTCTGCTGGCTGGGAAGTCCTGACTGCTCTGCTTGAATCCAGCTCCCTGCTATGAATGCTCTTGAAAAAGCAATAAAAAGATGACCCAAGTCGCCTAACCCGGTAGCCTAGTGGCTTTTTTCCCCCAAGTCCTTGCCTTGCATGAACCAGAATCCCAAGTGGCTGCCAGTTCGTGTCCTGCATGCTCCACTTCCCATCCAGCTCCCTGCTTGTGTCCTGGGGCAGCAGTAGAGAATTACCCAAATGCTTGGGACGCGGCACCCACATGGGAGACCCGGAGGAAGCTCCTGGCTCCTGGCTTCAGATCAGCTCAGCTCTGGTTGTTGCAGCTGCTAGGGAGTGAACCATCAGATGGAAGATCTTCTACTCTGTCTCTCCTCCTGTCTGTATATCTGCTTTTCCAATAAAAATAAATGAATATTTATTAAAAAAAAAAAAAGATCATCGTAGTCCTAGAAGTCACCTGCCACCCAGTGTTGGGAAAGCCAGATGGAGTGCGAGGCTCCAGGCTGCAGCCTGGCACAGCCACAGCTGCTGGTTGCCACCTGGGGGAATATGCTAGCAGAGGGAAGAGCTCTTCTTATTTAGCCCTCTCTCTGTGCGTATTACCCTGCCTTTTAAATGAATAATTAAAGACATACACAGTCCTCAGCAAGGTCAGCCTATGCGGGATGGGGTACTGACTCAGGCCTGCCTGCATCCAGGCAGGCGGCTGCCGCTCCCTGTGTGTGGAATCCCCTTCCCTGCCACATCCCCTTTCGCTTGCACTTCAGTGTTCATCTCCCCTTCCTGGGGTCAGGGGGAGGGCAAAATACCACACTCTCCTACACACAGGGCACCCTGCCCTCGATAAAGCCCACTGCAGTGGACTGAGCTCATTTCTAGTCCACCATAACCCGCCAGGGAGCAGGAGCCGCAGGGCTTCAGTGGCTCAGCCAGTTGGAGGTTGTGAGGACCAGAACCCAGATTCTTGGTTTCGGGCAGTGAGGGCTGGCCCCAAGTCCACTGTAGCACTCCCATGCCCCTAATGCTTGTTATTTGTTTATTTGTTTTTGGCAGAGGGTCGGGGTGGGTGGAGGGGAACAGGGGGTAGGTGTTTACTGTAGACCTCCTGCTGGCAATGACCTAGGCCCAGCTATTGCTCTCCTCTCTCTTGCCAGCAAACTGGAAGGAGGTGTTACCAAAATACATCAGCCCTGACCAGATGCCTGTGGAGTATGGGGGCACCATGACTGATCCCGATGGGAACCCCAAGTGCAAGTCCAAGGTATGGGCTCCCAGGGGCTGGAGGTAAACTGGGAGGCCCGTCTCCAAGATGCACCTGCCGTGGCCTCACTTGGTACTGCTCCTTCTCTCGCAGATCAACTATGGAGGTGACATCCCTAAGAAGTATTATGTGCGCGACCAGGTGAAGCAGCAGTACGAACACAGCGTGCAGATTTCCCGCGGCTCCTCCCACCAAGTGGAGTATGAGATCCTCTTCCCCGGCTGTGTCCTCAGGTAGGGACACACATGGGGTAAGGGCAGGTGGATGGGGGTGGTGCACCCAGGTAGGCTTTTATTTGAGTGGGTGCCCATCCCCCTGCAGGTGGCAGTTCATGTCTGATGGCGCAGACGTGGGCTTTGGCATTTTCCTGAAGACCAAGGTGGGAGAGCGGCAGCGAGCCGGGGAGATGACAGAGGTGCTGGCCAACCAGAGGTACAACTCCCATCTGGTACCTGAGGACGGGACCCTCACCTGCAGCGAGCCTGGCATCTGTAAGTCTTTCTCTCTCTATCCTGGGCTATGCTGCTATGCCCCATGTCCCATCTTCCTCCCAGGAGACCCCTGGCCCTCCGTGGGAAGACCTAGACTTGAAAGGGGGAAGACCATCTGTGTAAAATGACCTGGCTGCTTTATGGCAGGGTGGGCCTTTCACCCTGATCTTTCCTGGGTGTAGGTGAATCACAGTGCCTGGGTGGTCATGGCAGGTGGCAGGGGGTGGGGAGCTTAGAACATATGTCCTCCAAGTGCAGGTGTAATTGACTGGGTCTGGGTTGAGGGCCACATGTGTCTTGGGGAGGCCAACGGTGCACAGACCTGGCTGAGTAGGTTTGGAGTTGTGGGGTGAATAGAGTGCCAAAAAGTACAGCCCCTTCCTCTGGCTTGAAGGGCTCATTGTGTCACCAGATCTGGCAAATCGATCTCTGTGCTGGCCTTTGACCCGGCTCGATTTTGGCAGGTGCCGAGGAACATTTTCTTTGATTCAGCTGTTCTCCCTGTGGGAACTGATCCTACAGAAATGGCAAGGCTGATACAGAATCAATGCCGGTACAGGAGGACAGAGGGACGGAGGTTGTTCCCAGCAGCCTGGCTCCTGGCAATAAAGTATATGACCGCAAAAGGGCTTGTGAAATGTGCAATGGATGTTCCCAGGCCCTTAGAGATAAGGACACACGGGGTGTCTGATTCCTGCCCAGGGAGTAGCCACAGAAGCATAACATCCGTAAGATATACTTGCTTTGATTCAGAATATTTGTGTATTCCCAGAAAAGATTTTGGGCAATCCATGTTAGCTGTCTCGGGACTTATCTTTTGGGGGGCTGCTGGAGGCTTTTCATTTTCAGTGGGATTTCTGCAAAGACATTTTTGCTATGATTGCATACTCCATTTATGCACACACAGATTTTTTTTAAAAAGATTAATTAATTTTTTATTGGAAAGGCAGATTTGTAGTAAGAAGGAGAGGGAGAGAAAGAGAGAGCTCTCTCATTCACTGTCTATCCACCAAGTGGCCACAATGGCCAGAGCTGAACTGATCCAAAGCCAGGAGCCAGGAGCTTCTCCCAGGGAGCTGGACCCAAGGGCGTCATCCATCCTCTACTACTTTCCCAGGCTATAAGCCGGGAGCTGAATGGGATGTACAGCAGCCTAGACATTAACTAGTGCCCATCCAGGATGCTGGTGCTGGCAGGCAGAGATTAGCCTGTTGAGCTACCAACTGAATCAGATCTCTTTCTTTTTAGAGAAAGAAACTTTTAATTTCTTTGCACATTAAATATTGCTTACCACAATTGGCTATATGGTCAAATGGCTGTTGGTCAAAATGAATTCGTAAAACCAAGGACTAGTGGCTCAAGTTCTCGCCTTGAACGTGCCAGGATTGCATATGGGTAGTAGTTCTAATCCCAGTGGCCTTATCCATCCATCTCCCTTCCCAAGGCCTGGGAAAGCAGTTGAGGATGGCCCAAAGCTTTGGGACCCTGTACCTGTGTAGGAGACCCAGAAGAGGCTATGGGCTTCTGGCTTCAGATCGGCTCAGCTCCAGCTGTTGTGGTCACTTGGGCAGTGAATCACCAGACTTAAGATCTTTCTCTCTGTCTTGCCTCCCCTCTGTATATCTGACTTGGTCGTAAAAATAAAATAATCTTTAAAGAAATAAAATAAGAATAAAAGTGTGTTATGAAAAAAATTTCACTGAATGCAAATGGTGATTTTAGCTACTGCAAATTTCATGGTAAATACAGTTTATTGGGCCTGGCACTGTGGTCTAGTGGCTAAAGTCCTTGCCTTGAACGCGCCAGGATCTCATATGGGCACCGGTTCTAATCCCACATGCTCCACTTCCCATCCAGCTCCCTGCTTGTGGCCTGGGAAAGCAGTGGAGGACAACCCAAAACCTTGGGTCCCCGCACCCACGTGGGAGACCTGGAGGAATTTCCTGACTCCTGGCTTCGGATTGGCTCAGTTTCAGCTGTTGTGGTCACTTGGGGAATGAGTCATTGGCCGGAAGATCTTCCTCTCTGTCTCTCTTCCTTTCTGTATATCTGACTTTGTAATTAAAAAAAAGTACAGTTTATCTTAGGAAGCAAATATTTAAGACTAGGGTACATGATGAGGTTTGCTTAAAGAAAACTAAAGCTGCCTTCATGGGGACACCTTGGGGGAACTCAGATCTTCAGTTTTCTGTTAGAGCCACTGACTAATGCAGAAAATCAGTGAAAATCAGGGTTCTCTCAGCAGACTTCAACTGGACTGTTTTTTTTTAAACTAAATTTTCATTATTCATTTTGGTATCATTTGAAAGAAAGGGAGCTCTTCCTGTCTGCTGATTCATTTTCCCTGAAGGCTTACAAGAGCCAAAGCTAGTAGGGGCCGGGAACTCAATGAGGGTCTCCCAAGAGGGTCTCTGGGTGTGCATAGTAGGAAGCCAGAATCCGCAAGTGCAGCCAGGCCTCCAAAGCCAGGCACTCCAGAATGGGATGTGGGCATGTTAACTGCTGTGCCCAACAACCACGATGACTCAGCCTGGCCAAACATGGGGGTTGGCCAAGGACACCTGCTGATGCAGTGTGACAAGGTGTGTGTCGCCCTGAGCACAATACTGGACACAGAGCAAGCAGAGGAGGAAGGAGCCCAGAGACTAGGCTCTCGCAGCAGCAGCAGCAGCAGCAGCAGCAGCCCCGCCAGCAGAACTAGAGCCAGGCCACGGAAACCTTGACCTCCATGCGTGTCTACCCCGGGACCACCGCTGCCTGTCCCCTCCCATCCCAGCAGCCTTCAAGTCCCTGCCGCCTCCTCCTCACAGATGCTCCGTGGTGATGCCGTATGGCTCCCTGGAAAGGCGGGTGTATTGTTAGCAAGCAGCCAGTTCTCCCTCGGGAGGGCGGGGGAGAAGGCTGTGAGCTTCGACAAGGACTGGGCTCAGCCCAGATGCCATGACCCACAGGGGAGCGTGTGCTTGGCACACACAAGCCTGGATTTTGTTTCATCTTCTTTTCCTTTCTTTTCTTCTCTTAAGATTAATTTTTGTTTTATTGGAAAGGCAGGTTTATAGAGAGAAGGAAAGACAGCAAGAAGGATCTTCCATATGCTGGTTTACTCCCTAAGTGACAAACACCCGGAGCTGAACTGATCTGAAGTCAGCAACCAGGAGCTACCTCCGGGTCTCCCAGGCAGGTGCAGGGTCCCAAGGCTTTGGACCCTCTTCCACTGCCTTTCTCAGGTCATAAGCAGGGAGCTGGATGGGAAGTGCAAAAGCCAGGACACACACCAGGCCCATATGGGATCCTGGTGCATGCAAGGTGAGGATTGAGCCACTGAGCCACCATGCCAGTCCCATGAGTTTGGGTTTCTTTGGCTTTAGACAGAAAACAGTGTGAGAACAGAAAAACAAGAATTATTTCCAAAGTGGCTTTTGTGGACATTGTCAGATAGAGAACAGGCCGTGGACTATCCTACCAATGTTTAAGGCATCTGTCCTTAAGGTGACAGAGGTCCCCAGTCTAGGGGACCTCCAACCCCGTTGGCAGCATTGCTCAGTGCTCTTCCATTTCCTTTGCTACTTCAGTGGCAGGACCTGAGAAGGGACCAGGAACCTTCACACCTCGCCAGGCCTGGCTTTGCAAATTCCTCATTTAGCTCTTGTGCATGTTCGTTAGTAGGAACCTGCAGCTGCCTGCAGGGCTGCGGCCATGACCCACTTCCTGTATATGTGCCCAGGAGTAGAGTCTGGCCCTGGCATCTGGTTCCCTTCCTGCCTTGGACGTAAAGATATTGCAATGGCAGGATTGGGACTCAAGTTCAGAACTAAGCCCAGAGAATGCAGTGGTAGGTCGCAGGCTCACCTGTGTGAGGGCAACGCCTTGGGAGAAGCAGGAAACCTGTGGCAAGGGGGAGGAGGTGGGGATTCCAACTCAGTCCCAGCCTCCAAGGCCAAGGGCACATTAACCCTCTCTGGGCTTGCCTAGTCCATGTCCAAGTGTATGCCAGATGGAAGGAGGTGGCCCCGGTTCTGCATTGGTTTTGTTTTGTTGTCCTCCCCTCTTATGTACAGCGGGATTGCTGAGCATAAACAAGGGGAAATGGGAGGGCTCTAAGGAAGATGTGCATTTTGCCAACCAGGTGTGCACAGTGGCAGGTTGGAAAACTTCAGTGTCCCAGTTGCCAGGCAGTGCACAGGGCAGAGTTCTGCCAGCCCCCGGACACTCTGAGTCAGCTTTGCATGTGTTCTGAGCGAGTGCCACTAAATCAGGGGCAGGGAATGTCTGGCTCTGCCGAGGCAACTGCTGGCAGGATATGAAAATCAGTAAATCTATAGCAAGGTCATTTTACATGGCCTGTGAATATAGTTATAAATATCTAAATGGACCTTTGGCAGGAAAAAAAAAATAACGTCCCCACACTAGCTATAAGTAATCAGATTTGGCTTTGCTATTCCTTAAAATGAAGGGAGTGAAGCAAAACCGAAGGACTGCATCTGCTTTCCACACAGTCCCCAAAGCAGTGGCTCTCAGTTCCAAAGAGAAACTAAAGGAGACAGACACCCAGAGAGAAATCTCCCATACATTTGCCCACTCCAAAAAATAGCTGCAACCACTGGAGCTGGGCTGGTCTGCAGCCAGGAACCAGAAGCTTCTTCTGGATCTCCCACATGGGTGGCAGAGGCCAGTGCATTGAGGCCAGCCTCCGGTGCTCTCCCAGGCACATTAGCGGGGAGCAGAAGTGGAGTAGCCGGGACCTCAAATGGTATCCACTTGTCATCCCTGCACTGTGGATAGAGCCTTACGTTACAATGCCATGGCACCAAGCCCAAAATATATACATGTTGAAATATTTAATTATGTGAAAGGCAGCAGAACAGAGGGAGAGACAGAGAGACGTTCCATCTGTTGGTTCACTCCCTAAATGGTTGTGACAATCAGAGCTGGGCCAAGGCCCAAGACAGAAAAGTCAGGAACTTTATCTGGGTCTCCCATGTAAGTGCACGGGCCCAAACACTTGGGACAGCCTGCGCTGCTTTCCCAAGCACATGAACAAAAACTGCACGGGAAGCAGAGCAGCCAAAACTTAACACTTCGGTGCTCTGACACACATTGCTGGCAGCTTAACCTGCCGTACTACAGCGCCAGCTCCTAAAATATATCTATTTAATACACAGATTAGAGGCAAGATCACACCAAATCCTTCTCCCCTTTGGCACGGCTCCCTCCCTGCTGGGAACCCCTGAGACTGTGTGTTTTTATCATGTCCTCAAGGGAGTCAGTTACCCAACATGAGCCGGTGGGACCTATGCCAGGGGAGGTCTCTGGGGACTCTGTGAGTCTATGAGTGGATGATTAGCGTCCAAGAGAAGGATGCAGACTCCATGTCCCTCGAGCCTGGGCCTCCTGTCCTCCCAGCCCTTGTGTCTGCGAGCAGGGGTCCTGAAAGACAGGGAGGGGACAGGTGACCGCCATGTCACACCAGCAAGAAAGAGTGGGTGGTATGGTCACCTCTGGTCAAGAAGATGCGTTTTGTGCAGGAATGGGAAAGGTTGTGTTTTAGGATTCACACAGTTTTGTGGATTTCTTTTTTCTTTTGTAGGGAAAGTAAGAGATTTGTTTCTTTATTTGAAAGTCAGTTATAGAAAGAGATAGCATGCTTGGCGCGGTGGCCTAGCGGCTAAAGTCCTTGCTTTGAAAACGCCAGGATCACATATGGGCACCAGTTCTAATATCGAAGCTCCATTTCCCACCCAGCTCCATGCTTGTGGCCTGGGAAAGCAGTCAAGGACGGCCCAAAGCCTTGGGATCCTGCAAACACATGGGAGACCTGGAGGAAGTTCCTGGCTCCTGGGTTCAGATTGGCGTAGCACTGGCTGTTGTGGTCACTTGGGGAGTGAATCATCAGACGGAAGATCTCTCCTCCTCTGAGTATATCTGACTTTGCGATAAAAAAATAAATCTTTAAAAAAAAAAAAAGAAGAATAAGAAAGAGATAGAGATCTTCCCCAATTGGTGTAACTACCAGGGCTGAAACCAGGAGCTTCATCTGGGTCTCCCACGCGGGTGGCAAGGACCCAGGCACTTGAATCGTCTTTCACTGCTTTCCCAGGTGCATTGGGGAGCTGGATTGGAAGTAAAGCAGCTAAGATGTGAACCAGCACCTATATGGGACACTGGCACCTGCAGGCGCTTAACCTCAATGCTATAATACCAGCTTGGGGTTTTGTCTTCTCACTTCTCTTACAGGGATGTCTAACCAAAATGGAACTACTTCTTTCCTTCTTCTTCTTTTTCTTTTTTTTTTTTTTTTTTTTTTTAGTTCATTTCCCAAATCACTGCCAAAGCCAGGGCTGGGGTCAGGCTGAAGTTGGAGTCCTGGAAATCCATAGGAGTGGCAAGGCCCAGATATTTCCACTACTATCCCAGGTGCATCAAGGGAGCTGGATGGGAAGTAGAACACCCGAGTCTCAAACTGGAAACACTGCTATTTCAACTTAAGATCCTTTCAACATTAAAAAAAAAAAGGATGTATTTATTATTTTTTTTTTATTGGAAAGTCAGATTTACAGAAAGAAGGAGATACAGATAGAAAGATCTTCCATCTGTTGGTTCACTCCCCAAATGGCCACAACGGCTGGAGCTAGGCCGATCTGAAGCCAGAAGCCAGAAGGTTCGTCAAGGTCTCCCATGTGGGTACAGTGTTCCAAGGCCTTGTGCTGTCCTCCACTGCTTTCCCAGGCTGAAGCAGGGAGCTGGATAGGAAGTGGAGCATGCGGGACATGAACAGCGTGCATATGGGATCCCAATGCATGCAAGCAAGGATTTAGCCACTATCTTACCGTGCCAGGTCCAGGTTCATGTTTAAATTGTAGACCCACGTGGGTCATTTTAAATGGCCTCCACATGGTGTCATGGACACCCATAGAGCCTCCCCATCCGGTGAGCAGTTACAGGGATGTGATTACATCTCATGTGGCACTTAGGATGTTCTGGTTTGTGTGTGTGTGTGTTTCCTCTCTCATGAATGTCTTGTCCACCCAGCGCAGCCGGCTAAGTTTCAGAAGGTCAGTATGCATCCCCAATACCTGCCACGCTTGCCTTGCTCAGCAGTGGCTGTGCCCCCATCCACACTGCTCCCTGTACTCCCAGCCCTGGCTCAGACAGCCTCAAGCTCTGCTCTTCTGCTTCCCCTCAGATGTCCTGCGTTTCGACAACACCTACAGCTACATGCATGCCAAGAAGGTCAGTTTCACGGTGGAGGTCCTGCTTCCGGATAAAGCGTCAGAGGAGAAGATGAAGCAGCTCGGGGCTGCTTCAAAATAACACCACCTCCTGGCAGCAGACCTCACCCCTTCCGGGTCCTCTCATAGATTTATTTGTAACTGTCACTCCTCTGCTCACCACCACCACCACCACCCTGCAGCCCTGGGGCACTGGGCTGTAGGAAAGACTTGGGATTGGCTCCGGGAAGCTCTTGTTGCAGAATCAGGACCAGGCTGGCGAACTCCCACTGCAGCTGGCCACTCTCCCCTCCATCCCTGCCACAACAGAAGCTAGCTATCCAGTGAGCTGTGCCAATGTCACTTTTTCGGTGACACACGAAGACAGGGAAAGGGGAATCCTTGAGTGGCAGCAGGGAACAAAAAAATTAGGGAAAAAAAGCAGGGGGAGGGGAAAAAAAGCTGGAGGTCTAGCATTACAGAGGAAGGATTTGATCCCAAATGAACCTGGGACTGGAGGCCATTCCCAAGCAGTGGGCAGTGAAGTGGTGGTTGGTTGCTGGAGCCGGGCATGATGGTTGGGGTTGGAGGTTCGTGAGAACTTTTTCTCACTTTGGCAGGGGTGCCCAAGTCAGCACAGATGCACGCCCCCCACCCCCAGGAAAGGGTTACACCTGGAGAAAGATACCAGACACTCCTGTGCCCCCCAACCTCTTTGATTACTAATGATTGTCAGGGACTGGGAGGACTTCTTGCAGGGGACTTTGGGGTGGCCGTCCCAGTTCTCCCAAAGCAAAGCACAAGGACAATCGCTTCCAGAGACCCCGGCTCCCCAAAAGGGCCAGGGGAGGCTGGCGGTGGGAGTGAAGCCCTCCAAGAGGGAAGAGACGGGGGTTTTCAGCCCCTTTTTCATTGCCACATGCCTCTCATCAAGGCGCACCCGGCACAAGTTGGCAGTCCTCCCACCGCGCCTGTGATCCGGGCCCTGGCCACCTCATCTCTGGCAGGTGGTCAGTGGGCACAGTGGGTTCCTTGTGCTTGTTGGCGTGTGCAGCCCGAGGCCCGGCCAGCATGCCATCGCCGAGCCGGCCTTGCAAACGCACAGCTTAACCAGGTCCCTGCGAAGGATCGCCTGGTGCAGGGTGCACACAGCCCGGGCAAGGCGCGGACCCAGAGCTGGCCCGGGCTGCAGGAGCCCCCGGCCCGACATGCTGGCCTTGACTGATCACGCCCTGTTAGCAAAATTAACCAACGGAATAAAACAGCGTTCAATTCGCACACGGAGTGACCCTCCATGACTCGCCGGATCCTCTGTGTCTCGCTCAGACACGTCACGGGAGCTTCACGGCAACAGACCAGGCGCATGCGCACAAGTCCTGGCCCCCCGCCCCTCGCGGGTCCCCGGGGAGGGGTCTATCCTCCAGCTGTGTTCTGATTGGTCCAGCCGGAAGGGCGGGGTTCCTCCGCCATCTTTGCAGAGGGCACGCAGGGCTTCTTCCGCCTTCACAGTGAGGGCGGGACGTGCCCGGTGCCTCGTGCGCACACAGTGCCGGTACCGGGGGGAGCGGCCCGCGGCGGCGACTGCGAACCCGGAACGGCAGGGAGGCCGCGGACCACGTGACTTTAGGGACCATCTCCTAATTTCGCACCAGCACTGAGGGTGTTTCCAGGGACTGCCTCGTTGTGACCCCGCAAAGCCTGCAAATACTAGGCTTGACTTCCGGGGTTTCAATAGGGAATCGAGGTGCGCACTTTCCCCCCCGACCTTGAACCAAAAACTTAAAATGCATTAACGAGCGTCCCTGGCAGCAGGCGGAAGGCCTGAACCGGCTGCCCTGGAGGTTATTGCGAACACACAGCGCTCAGCATCACTTGGCTTATGTTTAATTTATTGATTCGTTCATTTACTTATTTATTTGACCAAGGTAGGCACTGTCGCTCCAGGGGGTAGCATAACCTGGATCTGAGCACAGGGTCAGGCCTGTCTCCAAGGGATTCCCAATTCCCACCCATCCCTGCATTCATTCCCGCTGCCCACAGGCTGCGTCCCCTCCCCACTGAGTTCCCAGAGCTTGATGGACACGCGTCGTGCCCGCTTCCCAGGAGGGACTCTGACGCCTGCCAACCCCCCTACCTCGCAGGGTGGTCCCGGTGCCCCCATCCCCACATTCCGAGCACCCCCAAAAGAGTGCAATACGTGGATTCAAATCCTGATATCCCCGCATGCGGAGACTGGGTCCCCAGGCTGGAGGGAGGGGGCAGGCTACTGGGGACCCCAGTGTGTGCAGTTGGCCCCCCCCAGATACAAAGGAATGAAGTGAGGCTCGAGCAGTGGTGTTCTCGCCTGTGACCACGCAGCTCTCGTTTTAAACCGCGCGGGGGACGGGAGAACCCCCCAAAAAAACCCTTCCGGTGAGGTCCCCGGCACCTGCTGGATCCTGTGAGCCTGGCAGAGGGGCTTGGGCGCGCTGGGGGAATTTGCAGACGCTCCCTGCTGCGGGGCTCGTCCGTCCGTCCTGTCCTTCAGCCGTGGACCTTCGCCCGCCCGCCTGGCGCCGCGGGCGTGGTGGACCCAAGTGCAGGTGGACAAGGACGTGGCTGCAGAGGACGTGAGAGATCATGTCGGAGACGCAGCTGCAGCCCGCCGAGCGCGACCTCTACCGGGACACGTGGGTGCGATACTTGGGTGAGTTCCTGGCCATGGGGTGGCGTGGGGGGCGCAGAGGCTGTGGGGTGCACGCAGGGGTGACCGGATGTGAGCACAGGGCTTGGAGGGTGCAGGTGTGTGTGTGGGGGGGGGGGGGCGATCGGGGTCTTGATTCTCATTCTGCTAGAGCCTGGGACTGACCCAGAAAGGGCTAAGGAGTTGCCTAAGGGCACACAACATCTGGCTGTCCAGATGGCCAGGCCTTCCAGGATGGACCTGCATAGGGTGGGTGGGCTGCCTTCTCTGGCTTCCATCCTGGCTGTTACCACGTTAGTGCCCACACTCCCCGAACCCTGGGCTGGGACATTTGACTCATGAGTCGTGCAAACATGGTGTCCCCGTGCTCAGCCCGACCACAGTGTCCTCTACGTGAACATGGTTGGTCCCCCATTCCCCAAGTGCACAGGTCCTCCGAGGTCACTGGCATGCCTTGGCAGCCTAGGAATGACGCCTGCTGGTGGGAGGCAAACCCTTGTGGAACACCCTACAAGATCTCCCAATGACCTGTCCACCCACCCTGGCCCCAGGCTATGCCAATGAGGTGGGGGAGGCTTTCCGCTCCATGGTGCCCGCGGCTGTGGTGTGGCTGAGCTACGGCGTGTCCAGCTCCTACGTGCTGGCCGATGCCATTGACAAGGGCAAGAAAGCCGGAGAGGTGAGTATAGGGCTTTTCCCCTCCCTGTCCTGAATATGGTACAGTCCAGAGCCCACTTCCTTGTGCCCCAGTGCTCCACCCCTGTGGCCACTTCCTCTTCCCTGGCCTCCTATGCGCCTCCCACAGAGTGTCTGGTCCCAGGCTCTTGCTGGACTCAACGTCTTTTGCCTCCTCAGGTGCCGAGCCCTGAAGCAGGCCGCAGCACCAGAGTGACTGTGGCCGTGGTGGACACCTTTGTGTGGCAGGCTCTGGCCTCTGTGGCCATCCCAGGCTTCACCATCAACCGCGTGTGTGCCGCCTCTCTCTATGTCCTGGGCACTGCCACCCGCTGGCCCCTGGCTGTCCGCAAGTGGACCACGACAGCGCTGGGGCTGCTCACCATCCCGGTCATCATCCACCCCATTGACAGGTGCGTGCCCTCAGGCTGCAGGGCATATCCACTCTGCAGGTGGGTACATACGGCTGGCTTTAGAGAGGCCTGAGAGATGCCAGCTGTGCCAGGGCAGGGTGGGCACCTGGGGCTCTGCGGATAGAATAGGGCAACCTCTGCACTTTGGCATAGGACCTGGCAGGTACTGTGGCAGTACCGGAAGAGGAGTGTCTTGAGGGTATTGGGGCTCACAGCAAGGACGTTTTAGCACTACTGTTATTACCGCCTGGAGGCAAGCAGGAACAGGGGCACCCTGCAGGGTGAGGAAGGAGTGAAAGTCAAGGATTGTGGTTGCTTTGGGGCGTGGCTGGTTCTAGGCATGCCTAGAGTGTCATCAAAGACCTGCTGGCTTCCTCTCCACCTGCCCCCACGCTGTGCCTGTTGCCTTTGGTCACTTTCCCTGCCTAGGGATGAAGGTGACTGGCAGCTCGCAGCTTCCCACCAGCATAACGACCTTTCACATAATGACAGCAAAAACAAAAATGCAACAAAGACTGTCACTGGCCCATCTCAGCTCGAGTGCCCGCCCCGAGCCCATTTTTCTTCTCTGATTGGCCAGGCTTGGGTCATGTGCTTAGAAGCAGACCAATAAAAAGTGGGAAGTTAAGTTCTTCTTGGGAAACTTCCCTGACCATGAGGCCTAACCTGAGCTCCTCCCTGTCCACGTGCCTGAATAAAGAATGTCAGCTACCCATTCCAGGGACTTGGCTCTGGCTTTGCCAGGGGTGGGACAGGGACAGGTATGCTCATACAGCTGGAAGGCCCTTCCCCTAGCCCCAGGCAGCCTCCTGCTCCCTACTGCCTCCTCTGTGAGCCGTGGCCTCCAGTTCACCTCCCTTCCCCTCCCCTGCTCTGCAGGTCGGTGGACTTCCTGCTGGACTCCAGCCTGCGCAAGCTCTACCCGTCGGTGGGGAAGCCCAGATCCTCCTGACCCTACCCCAGGAGCTGACCCGTCAGTTGGGTCACTCCTGGCCGGGGCATGACTGCCCCCAGGGTCTAGGCCCCTGGCACCTGGGAGGATTGGAGCTGGATGGACACTTAGAGGCAGTGGCTTCAAGGAGCAGCAGCTGCTACGACGGCGCAGACGGAGGCAGGACCCGTTCCTGGCCACTTCTGTGACAGACTGTGTGATGAGGACGAGGACGGGCACTGTCTGGGTGTTGCACTCTCCTGGGGTTTGTCAGGAGACGGGAGGCCCTAGTAAGGCAAGGAATGCCCAGAACGTAGGAAAGAAAAAAAAGCACAGTCAGGATAGCTCAGGGCACCCTGACCTGCCAGCTCAACCCTGGTGCTAGGGCTGCTGTGACCTGGCAGGGAGGCAGTCATGGGCCAGGCTGAGTTTCAGGGCCGGTGTTATGGTGCAGTGGTTAGCACTCCACTTGGGAGGCCTGGTGCGTTCTCTATGGGAACACCTGGTTCAGTCGCTGCTCGGCTTCCTATCCCACTTCCTGCTGATGTGCCCCTGGCAGTAGGTGATGGCACAAGTTCTTGGGTCCCTGCCACCCACAGGGGAGGCCTGCCTTGAGCTCCAGGCTCCTGGCTTTGGCCCGGCCCAGCCCTGGCTGTTGCAGACCTGTGGGGAAGTGAATATGTGGTTGGAAGATCTTCCTTTCTCTGTCTCTCTCCGTTGCTCTGCCTTTCAAGTAAAAAGAAATAAAACTCGACAAAAGAAGGGGAGTTTTTGATTGGAGTTAAGCTGGGAGATGGGGCAGGTCGGGGAAGTCGGTGGGGTAGCTTTTTCAGCCATGTCTGGCTCACAGTGGCTTGCATTCAGGTCACCATCTCAGAAAGCTCCACAGTTGGTGCTGTCAGTTCCCAGGGGTGAGGCAGGCATGGAATACACCCTGACCCTCCCCTCTTCAGCCCTGGCCTGAGCTTTACATCAAGTCCCATGGTCCTTCCAGCGCAGGCAGCTTGGCAGGCTCCACTCTGCTGGGACCTCTAGTGGCCACAGGGCTGGCTGGGAGAGGCTGCTAATGAGAGGATGGGGGTGCTGTGGGGTCTGGGCAGCGGGGTCGGTGTCTGCTATGGTGACAGAGTGAATCTGCAGGTCTCCCTTGGAGGTGTGTGTCCCTGCAGGGGTGAGGTGGGCCTTTCTCCGACTCCTGTCTCATCCTGTTCTGGCAAGCCATCCCCTTTCCCTCGCTTGTTTTCCTCAAACCCCAGCCCATTCTAACCCCATACCCTGGCTAATGCCGGTGCCCTTGTCCTGCCCAGAAGTTTCCCTCCCCCTTTCTCCCACAGGCATGGACAGGGCACCCACAGCTGGGATCTGCCTCCATGGCTCCCTGCAGCCAGGAGCTGCCCAGGCCAAAATAAAGCTCTGTGCCCGTGGGTACATGCTAAGTCCCTCAGCCCCGCCCCCTGCCTGGCCTCCTTCCTTGTCACTTGTGCCTCGTGGGTCTCGGATCCCCCATCCCCCCACCATAACCTCCCAATCCATCACTTCGGAATCCTTTCCCTTCAGCCGAGTCTGAGTAGCCTTCAGAGCCCCCCGCTGTTCACCTCTTTGCCCTTGACTACCCCCACCGGTGTCCCTGCCTCATAAAGAGGTCCTGGGGTACCAGGTCACAGAATGACCTACTGGCACGGAGCAGGTGCTCTCCCTACTGGCTTGCACACTGGCCACCGTGGGCAGCCCCATCCCGGCTGCCTTCGCGGTTTGGCGGGCACATTCCTGCTGAAGCAACTCACAATCACGCAGTTTGCTCCTCAGCAGGTCCTGCTTGCTGGCCGAGAACAGCAGTCCCTTAGTGTCCAGAGGGCCGATGATATCATACTAGACCGGGCAATCCTCCAGGTCATAGCCACACATGCCCCCAGCCATATACTGCTGGATCACCTGGACACAGATGGCAGGGACGGGGCAGGGTTAGGGGCACTCCACATGCTGCAAAACACACCATTTAAAGAGCAGGAGCAGAGGAGGGGTTTTCACAGGCTTCCAGCAACTAGCGACAGCAGGGACAGGTGGCCCCAACCACAGCACACATGGGAGGACAACCGACAGGAATGGATTCTAAAACTCCTGGCAGGTTTTAGAAGTCTCGGCCAGCACGGCTGCTTACGCAGCTCCGTAAAAACTTCTGTGTTCTGGGTTCATGACCATGGACTCAGACTGGGACCCTCTCCTTCCCTGCAAGGTACTTGACCGGTGCCAAGATGCTGGTCCTATTACTTAACACTGCCACAAGAGGGCAGCACAGCCTAACGTAACACACTAGGTCCTCTAGCCACAGGTTCCCCCCACGTTTCTTTTTTTTTTCCCTCTTTTTTTTTAAGATTTACTTTTTTTTTTTTTAATTGGAAAGACAGATACACAGAGAGGAGAAGAGACAGAGAGGAATATCTTCTGTCTGATGATTCACTCTATGCCGAGACAAAGCCAGGATCCAGGAAGTTCCTCCCAGGTCTCCCACGCGGGTGCAGGGTCCCAAGGCTTTGGGCCGTCCTTGACTGCTTTCCCAGGCCACAAGCAGGGAGCTGGATGGGAAGTGAAGCTGCCAGGATTAGAACCGGTACCCTTATGGGATCCCGGCGCATTCAAGGTGAGCACTTTAGCCGCTAGGCCACGCCGCTGGGCCCATCCCATCCCCATCCCCCCCCCCCCCCAGGTTTTTAACAATAGCGGATGGCAAATAGCTGGGAACAGGAAAGAGTGGGATGAGGAATGCTATCTAAACTGAACACATGCAACCGTTTCCTCTTGCTATTTCTACAGCATCACCACTATCCGTGTAGCACTCACATAAGTAATCCTATAGAAGGGGATAGGATATGTTCTGGGTAACTACCGTGCTATTTTTCCAAGGAGCCTGAGGGTCTGTGGATTTTGATGTCCTTGAGGCATCCGGAACTGGTCACTGGCAGATACTGAGGGACATCTGTTAGCTGTTAGTGGCCTGTTCCTGGTGACCGGGCTATCTTGTCCTAGGCGTCTCAGGTGACAGGACTTGCTTATGAATGCTCTCACCTTTTCTGTGGAGGACCTCATGGTGTGGAAACTCCTTAAGTGCCCGACGCAGAAAGCATCATCTTTCTGATCCGGAGGCACAGGTGGCCTCCCCACCAGCCTTGCACCTTTTTTCTTGGATTTAATGTCTCCTACCATTCTCCAATGCGCCTGGCATGCTGGTCAGCCACCATGTCTTTGCCCAGCCAAGAATGCCCTCCACACTCCATTTCCCAAATCCTTTTCCACCCTTCGAGGTCCCAGCTCCTGACCCAGACCCAAGCCAACTACCTTGCCCTGCAGCACCCACCTGATGGTTATTATCCTTACACTTACCCGTCTCTCTCCTGGAACAAGAGCACTTAGAAGTCTGGGACTGAATTTGCTGCAGCAGGGACTTGTCCCCAGGGTGCCTGACCTGAGTGCCACACAGTAAGGGGGCCCAGGCTTTTGGCCTCAGCTGCCACAGTGGAGCCCTGTCTATTGGGAAAGATTTAACAGCTACCATCTTTGGCCTCCCTAGGGCAGTGGAGCCATATCTGGGATGTTGGAACTGGAGGTCCTAGTCTTACGGGCCTTTGCCACACAGTGGGAAGACTGTGGGCCCAGGACTTCCTGCCTCCCATGCCCTGCTCTGCCATGTCTACTGACCACGGCTGGAACAAGAGGATCCACTAGGCAAAGTTATAAGACTGGACAAAAGTTATAAGACGAGGACGAAGCTATGTAAGACTGGAGACTCCCTCCCCAGTGCCACTTCCTGGGTGGCCAGCTCTGAGTGCAGGTAAGGACGCACAGGTGCCCATAACGGGTGTGATGAGCCTTGGAGTCAGACACTCTCAGTGTGTCCTCAAGGTCCCCTTGTGGTCACCAGCCACCTTCCATTGTCAGGTGCAATCTGGCTCCTTTTGGTGGGGCTTGGGTCAGGACCTGGTGCTACCACCTGTGATACTGTGTGCCTGCCTTAGAATAGGAAGTCGGGGAAGAAATCCTGCAAGCCTCGTGTGCCAGGGTCGTTGTGGGAGTCAGGAAGTCATGCTCCATGAGCCGTGGATGGGATGCGGGGCGTGGAGACACAAGCTCCACCTCTCTCTGTGTGAGCCTCCCGGGGAAGCTGCTCAGACATCCTGGGTCTCCACTGCTCTGGCTGTCCAATGGGTAGAGTGTCTCTCCTGCCCACACATAGAGGTTGAGAGGATGACACCTAGGACAACCCTCCTGGAGGCAGAAGGAGCTGTGTGGACATTCACTGTAGCCAGTTAAGTTGCTTCTTGGGATGCTCACCGGCTATATCCCGTGTTCAACACCTGGCTAGGCATGTGATCCAGCTTGCTCTAAGTGCCTGCCCCAGCAGACAGCAATGGCTTTCATATATACTTGGTTGCTGGAACCTAAGAGAGCTCTAGATCTGCTGGATCCAGTCCTAGTTGTTGCATGCATTTGGGGAATGGATCCTTGGATGGAGAACTTCTTTCTCCCTGCCTTTCCATTAATGAATCAATTTTTGAAAAGAGAGAGAATGCAACCAGCTCGTAAAGCCCTTGGTACAACGTCAGTTTCATGAAGAGCACCCATATGTGACAGTGAATTTTTATTATGTCAGGTAGCAGCTAGAGCCAGATGTGACTTTCTTAACTTCCAGGAACTTTCCTTTAATCACCAAAAACCTAAATTGTGAGCTCCAAGGGAAGGGAGTAAGTGAGGGCAGACGTGATTGGTGGGGGGAACTGTTGGACCAAAGGAAACAGAATCTGAGGGAGGCATATCTTTTCAAAGATGCCCACAAGGTGTGTGTGTGTGTGCGTGTGTGTCTCCCAAGAGGAAGCCACTGCCGGAATTCTGGGGGCTGGATCCCCTGGACCCACCCAGGACCAATCCATTGGCTCCTTGCATCAGTCGCTGTCCAAGGTGCTGATCAATGCTGCCGCCCAGGTTCCTCCTGCTCTCCCAAACCCAGGAATTGCTTGCTGGTTACCTTCCGGTCCTCCACTCAGCTGTACAGATAAAGAGTGAGCACCTACTATACACACAGGGGCATGGAAAAGAATGTAGATATGGCACCCAAGAAAAGGAGTTCAAGCACACAAATAGATCAGGAGGGGTGGAGAGAAGGGCCTGGGGATTTTTTTTCCTGTTTCTTGGGTTTCCAGGTCACCTATGAGATCCTTGTTTCTCTTTCACAGTCTTGGTATTCCAAAAGCCTGCGTCCTGATCCAACCCTTGCAGCTGGCAGGCGTTCCTTACTCACTAATGTCCCAGGGTCAGGAGGATGAATGATTGATTTTGAGGAGAGAAGCAGCATTATCCATAGAGAGAGAAGAGAGAGTCAGGGTTCTGTGAAGAGCGAAGGGTCCCCTAGATGGGGGTGAGCTCCTTGTCGTACTTCTGCATGCCCTCATCTGGGAGCAGCACCTCCACTGTGAAGCTGACCTTCTTGGCATGGACGAAGCTGTAGGTGTTGTCGAAGCGCAGGACATCTGGGGAACAGATGGAAAGGTGGCTTTACATCCTGCAGCCCTGCCCCAGCACTCCCTGGGGGTGTGATGGCAGTGGGAGGAGTGGAGACCAGGTTTGGGTTCCTGCTGGCTTTGTTTGCCCAGCTGGGCTAGGTTCCCATTTCCCCTGGGAACTGCCACCACTGAGCAGAGCCTGTAATCAGATTCCTCCCACCCCTGCCCTGGCTTTAGTTGCGACCTCTGGCAATAGGTACAATAAAGTGGCATCTCATTGTCTCCATACCTGGACAGGCACCTGGACAATGCCAAGGGGGAGGGAGTGGGAGAAGGGTAAAAAGCCTCCCAGCCACCTTGGATGAAGAGTATGCTCTCTGTGTGTGCATGGGTGACATGGACCCAGACAGTGTGTCCCCGGTTGGGCTGTGGGGGTCACTACCCCTTGGTTTCTTTCTCTAAACCAACTGCTGGTAGTTCCAGGCTTCTGGAGTCAGGATGCAGCCCAGGCAGACTTACACATGCCAGCCTCGCTGCAGGTGAGGCTCCCATCCTCAGGTACCATGTGGGCATTGTAACGCTGGTTGGCCAGCACCTCCGTCATCTCCCCTGCACGCTGTCGCTCCCCCACCTTGGTCTTCAGAAAGACTCCAAAGCCAATGTCTCCACCATCAGAGGCGAACTGCCACCTGGAGGGGTCAGATTGCTACTCAGCCTGCTGGGTCCCAGAGGGTGTTAGCACCCAGCCGCAGTGCGTAACGGTGGCCTAAGCCAACCTGAGCCTACCTGAGCACGCAGCCTGGAAACAGGATCTCATACTCCACCTGGTGTGAGGAGCCTCGGCTGATCTGTACTGAGTGTTCATACTGAGCCTTCACCTGGTCCCGCACGTACATGGATTTGGGGATCTCCCCACCGTAGTTGATCTGCAGACACAGACTCGGATGGGCTTGTGCTGGTTCTCGTGGTTCAGCTTTATTCACCATCTCCTGGACATATCTTACTCAACCTATCCACCCCCAGCCCTGGATCTTTGCCTAACCCAGTAGAAGTCCCTGGGCCAGCTTCCCTCCAGTTTATCCCTCTGGGTCAAACTTCCCCTTTCTCCTTTGCCTACATAGCTGCCTGACTGTGCCCACAAGGGCATGACTGTAGCTTGCATAGACCAGCTGAACACCTTCCTTGGTGATCTCGCTACTGGTATTTGTGAAATCAATGAGTGTATAACAGGGAAACCCAGTGAGGTGCTCCAACCACCCTCTGCTTTTAGGGTTCCTTGTACCTTGGTTAAACATTTGGGGTTCCCATCAGGGTCTGTTAGGGTCCCTCCAAAATGAGCAGGCAGTTCCTCAGGACTGATGAGTTTCAGCAGACCTTCCTTCCAGCTGCCTGGAGTAAGAGGAGGAGGAAGGGTGATTATGAGACATGGGAGGGACCAGTCAGCCTCCCACACCCACTAATCTAACCTGAACTGGATTTTCCAAACCTCTCTGGAGCTAGCAGGCTACCTCAGTGTCTTTACCGGTGTTGTGTTGCTATGGAAGTATGCTTCCCCTTGGCTGGAGTTGCGTCAGTGTCAGTGTCTTCATGAAACTTTAAAGCTCAGTGCGGTCCTAGCCCTTGTTGGGGGTCCCTCAGTGAATAAGTGACATAACCAAGTTGGACTTGGTGAAGGATGAGCAGCTCTGGGACTTTGGCATGACCACCTCCCTTTCTCACTGTTTTTCATTCTCTGCAAAGCTCTCAGCATCCTGAGTGATCACCCTTCCCCAGTCCTTAGGCTCATCCCCTTGAGCATGGGATAGTCCTCCAAGGGACAATGGAGAAGATTGTCATTCCTGGAACACCAGGGGCCAACTGGGCAGAGCCTTGGGAGGCACCAAATGGGGCAGAGCCCTTTCACATGGGGTCTGAAGGGTGATGGAAGCCCACCCTACTACAGGATGGAGAGGGTGAGAAGGCAGGGGCCTGAGCCCCTCACACCAAGCTTCCTTGTGATTCTGTGAACTCCTCACCCAATGGACTTGGTGAGAGACAAGAGCTTGGGTAATAGGAAGGCAGAGAGAGGGGATAAGACCCCTCCTTGCCACTCGATGGATCCTCAGTTTTCCTGATTCCTTGATCTGGCTTTTCTGTTTGGGAGAAGTTTTCTTCCAAGTTCAGTGTTACTGCTTTGAGTTTAAGAACTACTTCCCAGATATAAAGCCTTGGGACCCTGTACTTGTTTGGGAGAACTGGACAAATCTTTTGGCTCCTGACATTGGATCAGCTCAGCTCTGGCTGTAGTAGCCACTTGAGGGAGTGAACCAGAAGACGGAAGATCTTCATCTTTCCTACTCTCCACAAATCTGATCAGCATTTCTAATAAAAATATATTTTTTTAAAGAAGAACTACTTCCCTCCTCTCTTTGTCTCATGTTGTCACTTCTTTAAAAAATGACTTTTCTATAAAAGTAATACATATCTTGTGTGAACAGGAAGTAATACTAGCAATTATACAAACACAGTTCAAAACCACAGGATGTCTCATCATCAACAAATCAATAACTTGTTTTGCCTTCTACTAGAAACATATATTTGTTTTTGTCAAAATAAAATTACACTGTCCACAATGTTCTCCAATCTAGTTTGTTGACTCCATGACATTTCCTATGACATGAAATACTCATTCACGATGAGTATTTTCTGAGTCCTGCTTTTTCTTGCTTCTCATCCTCCTCAGTCCAGGCTGCCCTTGAAAGCAGCCAGCATGGTAGCTGCCAGCAGAGCAGCAGGTTGATTGGGAGCCAAATTGAAACTGGCAAGGAGTCCCTCATGTAGATCTTTTTCACCAAAGGGTTGTGGCAGGGAACAGGGCACAGTAGCTGGGTAGACTCCCTGAGATGAGGCTCACCCCACTTGTGGGAAGAAGGAATCTGTAACTTTGGGTCACATGTGGAGTTCTAGGGGGAGTGATGGCCCAACCTCCCTCCATGGTCACACATAGAGCTTAGGGAATGGAGCTGCAGCTACTTACTTCCCAACACCACGATTTTCCTGCGTGTCTCCTCACTCAGGAAGGGTTTCATGAGGTTGTAGCCCACAGGGAACAGTTTTGTAGCTGGAGGGACACAGGGAGGGACATATTGAGATAGTAGTTCAAGAGCCACAGCCAATGTTGAGGGAGGAATTGGGACCAGCCCTGGCTAGTTCCAATGCCTGGTATGCCACAAAGCAATTGACCACCAGTCAACAGATCCACCAAGTACCTACTAAAGAATTGTCCAGTCTATTAACTACTCATCCAATTGAGTCAATCCTCCAAACTTCTAGCCAGTCAACCAACAGTCATTCGCGTGTCCAATCAACCATTCAGCATGCCAACAAAACAGTCAGCTTGTTTACCTTCTATTGGTAAAAACATCTAACAAGTCAACTGCCAAACAAATCAGCCCACTCAACAATCATCCAACTACCCACTCAACAGTCCCTTCTGGCCAGCAAACGACCTGAGATCCCGTCAAAAAGATCGCTCAGCCAATTAATCAAGATTACCCAGACAATCAGTCAACCAAAATGCCAATCAGTCACTTAATCAATCAAGTGAATGACTAGCTGGAGACCAAGCTGGTCAACTAGCCAGGCAACCAATTGGTCAGTCAACTGGACAGCCACCCAAACAACCAAGTCACCAACTAACCCACTAACCATCTAACATCCACTCATCCTTTTCTCTATCCAACCCAATAACCACCAAATACTTTCTCAACATCTACCATGCCACCCAGGCTGTTAGAGATACAGGATGATAAGAGGCATTGCTTCAATGAAACACAAAACTCAGCCAGGAAAACAGGGTGGATACATAACACAGCTGGCAGGGAGGGAGAGCTCTTTATGGGTCAGGGCACTGAGTGGGGATGCCTGGAACAGCTGAGGCCGGAGCTATCTCTTGCAGTAAGGCCAACCAAAGAAACGCCTTTTTCTTGAGCCCTTACTTTGTGCCAAGTACTCTCAGAGATTTGCAGGGAGCCAAACAATCAACATGCCTCAGCCGGGGTAAAGGCACTGTTACCCTTCTCAGGGTGCAGGTGAGGAGATGGAGACCAGTACGTGAAGCCACTTTCCACACACCTTTCACGATGAGCATGAACTTCAGGGTCTCTGGGTAATTCTCTTCAAGGAGGCCAAAGAACTGTGGAACCAAGTGAGACCCCCATCAAACCCACGTCTGACCTCTTACCCATATCTTCTTTGTGGTCCCCCACCTGGAGATTTTGGGGTGGTTCTGTGCAGGTTTTTCTGTTTTACCTTTTCCTCTTCCTCTGGCCCTGGAAGAGACCTTACCACCTTGTTCCCCTATTATTAATAATAGTTATATGCTATTAATGTTAGAGCACAGGTTATAGTAATGATAGTATCGTAATGGTGTCTGCTGTTTAATAAATGATCACAATGCACCTGCCAACTCCACTTTGGAAGTGATGGAACTCAAATATTAGGAACTGACTTGTTCATGTCACAGAGCAGTGTTGACAGGGCTGGAAATGCTTTGGAGGAAGTTGACTCCTGTTGTCTCAAAGCAGTGTTGTTCCCAAGCCCCACTCTGTAGGGCATTCCCATCTTAAGTCTTTAGCGATGGAGCCCATACAGGCAACCACCTGCCATGAAATCATTAGGGCCAAGCAAGCATCAAGGTCGCAGCAGGCCAACATGGTCATCCAAGCAAATGGGAGTGCCCATGGGCCTTCTTACCTCCTGATACACTTCTACCAGGGGCTTCCAGAAGTGCTTCAGTCCCAGACCCTCACAGTCAAATATCATCACAATGGTCTCAATCTTCCTCCCCAGCTGCAAGATTGAGGAGGGAGCAGTTCCAGAGTTCAGGATTCAGGTTTGGGAGATGGTGACCCAAGTAAAAGATCCCCGTAGGGATTCGTCCTACCCACCCCCAACTCTGTCCTCAGTGGAGCAACTGGCAAAAAAAGTGAATGCATTTTCACACTCATCCATCCATCCATGCAACCATGTCCATCCACCCACCCACACATCCACCCACCCGTGCATCTATCCATCCATCCATCCATCCATCCATCCATCCATCCATCCATCCATCCAAGAATTCACCTATCAATTCACGTATCCAACCATACAGCAATTTATGATGGGATAATCAAGGGGTAATCCCATTACAAGTCAAGAAACATCTGTAGTTACATTATCAATCTACAGTTACGTCATCTAGTCACCTCTCTATACATTCATATAGCAGGTCCCCCCTTTCATCCCCCATCCATCCACCTGCTATTAAGTGATTCTTTTGGGCCAGACCTCAAGTCTAACAAGTAATGCTCAAGAAGTCACAGTCTGGCTGGGGAGATAACAAGCAAGTGGGCCATCCCAACACAGGATAACTGCCATATTAGAACAGTAAGTGGCTATAGGAATACAGAAGAGGGGATTTAACACATATGAGGGCTTCAGAGAAGGTGGCACTGAAGAATGAAATTAAAAAAATAGGAGAGGGTTGAGGTAAGTTTTTGGCAGGTGTGTGTGTGTGTGTGTGTGTGTGTGTGTGTGTGTGTGTGTGTGTGTGCGTGGTGGGTAGGGTTGCCCAGAACGAAAAAAACAACAGTGCAGTCTCAGAGGGACTATCAAAACTACCTCTATTGAGACAAAATACAGTGGCTCAATTTAATATTGTTTTCAGAAGTTATGCTGGTGGGAAAGCACCAAGCATATAACAGAAAGTTTATTTTGAATGTTGATTCTTTTGACTCCCTACACCCAGATATCAAATGTCTTACAAGGCTCTCTTGCCATAGCCAACTACAGGCAAACTTAAATGTTTGTGAATGTTCTAAGGAAGCAAGACTAAGTGAGGGTGTTTGGTAGGTTTCAAGGTAGTAAATCCATTTCTGTTATATGACGTTTCAATGTCCACTGGGTTCATTAAGCTGGAAGTTGAGAAAGCACTGCAATTCTCCCACGGAACGTGAGCAGCCATGATTCACTATGAACTTTGTATTGTAGGTGGGGAAGTCGAGGCTTGGAGCAATGGGATGGCTTTCCAAGGTTACATGGCTGGGAAGGAGCAGAGCTGCAGTTTGACTCGTAAATCCCTAGACTGTGGCAGCGGAGGGCACAGATGCACTCCCGGGATCTCCACTTGCCCCCAGCCACTCCCACACCCTCACATGCACCTGTCCCGGGTCTCACCCGCTCTGTCTGCAGGTCACACTCATGTAGGATGCGCTCGCAGTCCCTCATCTTGGTCTTGAGCAGATCTTGTTTGGTGACTGAGAAGAGGAGTCCCTTGGGATCGAGGGGCCCGATGATATCATACCACACTGGGCAGCCATCACGGTCATAGCCACACAGCCCCCCAGGCATGTACTTCTGGATCACCTGTGCATGGAAAGGTACACTGAGCTTAGCATTGCACACCTCCACAGAAACCTGCCATCGCCAGTCCAGGCCAGGCTGACCATTAGGGTCTGACACACATAGTCTGGTATGAAGGAATGTCCCTCCCCTGGAGGATGGCACTGTCATCCCTCAAGGACCAAACTGAAGATCAAACAAGGAAGGACCTTGCTCAAAGCAGGTAAATAACAAGGCCAAGAAGCTGGTGCTGTGGCATAGCAAGTAAAGCTGCTGCGTGCAATGCCGGCATCCCATATGGGTGCTGGTTCAAGTCCTGGCTGCTCTACATCTGCTCCAACTCCCTCATTGATGGCCTGGGGAAAGCAGCAGAGGATAGCCCAAGTGCCTGGGCCCCTGCTACCTGGATTGAGTTCTTGAGGCCCAGCTTCAGTCTGGCCATTGCAGATATTTGGAGGTATGAAGCAGCAGGTGGGACTTCTCTGTCTTGTCTAGTCTACTTCTCTGCCTCTTGGGGAAAAAAATATTTTATAAGAGCCTGGGTTCTCAGACTTCAGCTCAATTCTGAGCCTCATCCTGGGCAACTTGCTTAACCTATTGCTAGGCCTCAAGATCTCCATTTTTAAAAAGAATTTTTTTTAAAAAGATTCATTTTATGTTTATTAAAAAGCCAGATATACAGAGAGGAGGAGAGACAGAGAGAAAGATCTCCCGTCCATTGATTCACTCCCCAGGTGACCACAATGGCTGGAATTGTGCCAATCCGAAGCCAAGAGCCTGGAGCCTCTTCTGGGTCTCCTATGTGGGTGCAGAGTTCTAAGGCTTTGGTCTGTCCTCGACTGCTTTCCCAGGCCACAAACAGGGAGCTGGATGAGAATCGGGGCAGCTGGGATGCGAACCGGCACCCATTTGGGATACCGGTATACAAGGTGAGAACTTTACCTGCTAGGCTATTGCTTCGTGCCCTCAGCATCTCATCTTGTAAAAGGGCAGTTGCCTTTCCCCGAGCTCAGGCCAGTGAAGCCTTCTGCGGGGGGTGCACCTCACAAACGCCTGGGAATACTCATTAGCATCATGGAAGAGTTATGCACAGGCCCTCGGTGGGCGGGGAGTGGAGGTGTTCCTCTGTCCTCAGAGGTTTGCTGCCTATAAACCTGGCCCCCCAGGTGACCAGGGGCTGCTGGGGATGCCATAGGGCAGAGAGAGACTATGGCATGGGGTGTCAGCTCACCTCCGGGGGCTGCCAGTCCAGGATGTGGTCGATGTCCATGGTCTTCCGGAACTCCATGTACTGAAATGGGAAATGAGGGGTGGGTGAGGTTTCCTGGGGGAAACGCAGGAGGAAGTAGGGGCTTGAGGTCTCCCCCACCAACACACCCGCAACCGCTCCCCAGTCTCCTAGGGTCGGGGGACGGGAGTGAGTCACCTTGCGCAGCATGGCCTCTGACTTCTGCAGGTCAAAACTTCGAGCTGCACAAGGTAGGGAGGGAAAGGATTCGTGAGATGAGACATAGGCTGCCTACAGCCACCTCGTCTTGCTCCTGGCCCGTGGGAAATACAGAAGACACCCGGGTGGGGTGGTGGTGTTGGGGGCTGGCAGGGGGCAGCCTGTCCCCTTCATCCGGACTATAATGTGGGAACCAAGGTGGTGCAATGGGAATATGGGGGACCCGGCCCCTCTCAGCACCCTCTCTCCCATCTGGGCCTCACCTCGAAGCCATCGCAGAAGGAAGTAATCATCGGGGTTGGGCAAGGCAGGCAACACGTCCTGGACATTTTCTCGGAACTAGGGGGAAGAGGGACAGTGGTTAAGGTGGGTTTCTCCCATGGAGCTTTGGTCTCCAGACATAAGATGATTCTCATGGCTTCTTCCCTCTCCACACCCCTTGCCCTTCTCCACGAAGTCTAGAAGGAGGGCCTGATGGGGGGATAGAAGGAAAGGTGGTCTTGAGATAGGCGCATTCATGAAAAAAGGAGAGAGGGGACTGGGGCTCTGTGCGATGTTGTAATGGGCTAATCCTCCAGCTGCAGCATCAGCATGCCCTAAGGCATGCAGATTCTAGTCCTGGTTGCTCTGCTTTCCATCCAGCTCCCTGCTTGTGGCCTGGGAAAACAGAGAATGATCCAAAGCGCTGGGACCCTGCAACCACCTGGGAGAATCAGAAGAAGCTCCTGGCTTGGGATTGACTCAACTCCAGCCATTGAGGCCCTTGGGGGAGTGAACCATCAGATGGAAGATCTTCCTCTTCATCTTTCTTTCTTTCTAAATCTGCCTTTAAATTCAAGAAGAAAGAGGAGGAAAAGAGGAAGGAGGAGGAAAAGGGATCAGGAAGTCATTGGGAAGGAAGAGGGTTGGATGGATGGCTGAGTGGGGTGAGTGGCCGGAAAAGAGGAAGGACAATGTAGTGGGAGGATGGGAGGCAGGTGAGCAGGGAAGGCGAGATTGGTGTGTGACTGGGGAGAGGGGGGTGTGTGCATGGATGGGCAGGTGGCCTGGGATTAGAGCACAAGGCATTCCTATGCTGCTCACCAAGGCTCGTGCCTTTTCCTTCCCATGATCCACAAGGCCAAGGTCAGTGATTATGTGTTCTTGCCCCCACTCACTGAGTGGTTGACAACACCCTCTGCCCCTCCAACTCTTCTGGGGTTAGAGGACAAGCCAGCAGTATCCCTCAGGTCCCACCAAGGGGCCGGGAGGGAGAAAGGGTAGGGGAGCAGCCAGCCTCAGCCCTGGGCTAGCACTACCTCCTCCAATGCCCAGAAGCGGTGCCAGTCCTCCCCCGCCCCCTCTGTCCCGGTGCCCGGAGCTGATGCCACTGGGCACTGTGGGACTTGACCTTTGAGACCAAGTGAAGGATATAATGAATCCAAAGAACTGCCGCCTCTTCCCACCCCACCACTAGCCCCTTTCCCCTGGGCCCCTGGTGGGGAAGGGGTGCTCACCTTGGCTAAGGTTTCTGCCTGCTTGGGGCTCAGGTCACCCACTCGGCCACTCATGGTGCTGGCGGAGGCTGGAGGAGAGGAGGCCACTGCAGGCAGAGTCCCAGCCTGGTCTGCCAACCTCCAGCCACCAGGGGCCTTTTGCCCCCATTCCTGGGTGTGGCCACAGGCACTGCCTCCTCCCAGGCCCACTGTTTGCCTTGCATGTTACATAACTGGGATTAAGTGAGGTCCCGTGCTTGGCTCTGGAATGGGTCCTGGGGAGGGGGCTGAGGAGAGAGGACAGTGGGCACTGCATGGTGTGTGGAGGCCCCCTGCCAGTTGGGAGGGAAGCAGGCAGCCTCGACAGCCTAGGGGCCCATGGTGGGGACTTGTATTCCCTCATCGAAGCTTCCAGGCCTCCTATGACCTCTGCCCTGGAGAAGGAGGGTTTCAGTATGGGAGGACCACTCCTTGTGGATACCCTGTGCCTCTGGGCCTCTGTTTCCCCATCTCTACAATGAAGAGACTCCATGCTGGTCCATATCATGATACAGCAAACTAAGCTGTCACCTACAGTACTGGCACCTTATGAGTTCTAGTTCAAGTCCTGGATGTTCCACTTCTACTCCAGCTTCCTTCTATTGAGCCTGGGGAAGCCATGGAAGGTGGTACTAATACCTGGGTCCCTGCCATAAACATGGGAGACCCAGAAGAAGCTTCTGGCTCCTGACTTCAATCTGACCCTGCCTGGGTAGTGAACCAGTTAGTGGAAGGAAGATCTCACCCTCTCCCCCATTCTCTTTCTCTCTGCCTTTCAAATAAAGGAAGAAGATTCCATGTCTAGGGTTCCCCAAAGACCACTTCTACCCAGCTCTGACAGGGTAGGAGTCTGAGTCATGGTCCAGGCAGTGGTCAGCTCACTCGGGTGTCCGCTCATCACACAAAGCCATGGTCAGGAAGAGGATGACATGGAACAGACAGTGGAACCCAAAAGGTAGCCTTGGGAAGGGCTGGCTATTCCCTGGAGCTGACACCACGCTCCCTGAGGTCCTTCCCATCCCATTCATCGAGTTAGCCCTTGGGGACTCCAGCATGGCTAAAGCTGAGCGATCCCCCACCCTGGTATCCAGCCATTGCTTTATCTTGAGGACAAGAAGACAAGGAGGGATCTTGTCCAGGACTCCCTCAATCCCTGGTCCTCCAGTTTCAGGACAGCTCCCCTAAAAGAGGAGCTTTAAATGCCTTGTCACCATGGGCATGCCCTGGGGAGGGAAGGAGTGGACATCCTTGGGCAGTGATGAGGGAGGACGTCTGGAAGATTCTTCTGCTCCTTGGATCCTGGCTCCCCTATAAATCCTCCCTGGCGAGATGACATCAGAAGTGTCACTTGTCTAGACAGCAACATCCCTGGGAAAACAGCAACAACACTTGACCATGACCATCAAAAAACCAGCAGCCCGAGACCATGGCAAGGCCACATGGCCATATCTTCCACACCTAGAGAGTGTCTGCAAGGGCTGAAACCCGTCCCTGGGCTAGCCTGGACCCGGCAACTGTGCTACTCCAGGTCTCTGCCTGAGAACCCTCCAAGAGCATCCTGCTTGGGCCTCTTCTGGACTACCTCAGGGCCATTTGAAGGTGAGTTAATACCAGACCCCTTGCTGCTGGTCTTCCTCCTTGCCCTGGGCCCTTGGTGGCATCAGGTCCATCAGGAGAAGGAGGGGCTGCCCTTGGCTGGTTGCCTTTGTCTGGAGCACCTGCTGCATCTCTGAGGAGCCGTTAGGTAACTGTACACCACGGCCCCACCCCACTTCACATTCCAGGCTCATTGTTTACAAAGCCCCAGCTACTGGTGTCCCTCCAGACTGGCCAGGCACAGGTATTGGGTTCCTCCACCACCTCTCACCAGCCTTTAATCCTCTCTCATTCTCACCCGTCTCCTCTCTCTAATCCCTCTAAGGTAAGGTGCTCAATTACTTCCGGTGGCAACCGCGGCTGGGAGGAAGGTCTGGCGATGGTTCCAGAAGCTGTCGGCTCTTCCTGATCCAGACCACGCCCATGCAGACCCAAGGGGTCATTGTCCACCTGCAGAATTTACTGTAGAGATGGACCTGGGCGCTCTCTGACCCGTCCTGTCCTGACACATTTGATAGCCACGAGTCACATCCAGGATATGGTTAGTACTGTGAAAGATCTGAAGTTCGAGTTGAATTTTGCTTTAAGTGGCCATGAGTGGTACCATAATGGACAGCTGAGGTCAACTCCATGGACTGAAAGCTTCGTGCATGCCAAGAACAGTACATACACAACCAGCCGAGCAGAAGGCAGAATTTGAACCCAAACCTGCTGTGACTTTGAACTTGCCTCAGAGTCACAGCCATACCCGGCCTGGCCTTTGAGGGATGTGCACTTTAACACCAATGATCTATGGCTCAACCAAGGAACTATGGCCGTCTCGTGTGCTAGAAAACTGGGGATCGCCTGGCCGGAAGCCTTGGAGCCTGTGGGATGGACTTTCCTTCCCGTGGAAACAAAGATCCTGGGGAAAGAGAGCCCCGTCCCTTACCCTGGGCACTGGTCTGCTTCAAGTGAGGCTGGGTGGAGTTTACTTCTCTCCTGCCAAGCTGCCTGGCGACCATGGCAACAACCACAACATAAACAAACCAGCCATCAGGGAGGACAAGCTGCCTGCACTACACCCGCAGGTCCCTCCTTCCAGGGGGTTCCTAGGCAACGGGAGAGGGCCACTTGGTGCATTCCTGTGCCCCTCCCCAAGAAGGGAGGGTAGGTGCGGGGAGGAGGGGTGGGGGCCGCAGCAGTGGGAAGAGGGGAATGTGTGGAGAAAGCTTGCCTTGGGGCCAGCAATGCTGAGAAGTAAGGGTGTGTGGGGAGGGTGGGTGGCCGGTCAGACCACAGAAATGTGAAGTGGTGGCTTAAGAAAGGGGACAGAAAATGCTCCCCACCCGAGTCCCAGTGTTGCTCTGGGTGGTATCCTGGTGTTGATTGCTGAAGCCACTGGAGAGCGAAAGAATTCATCAGAACAACCGGCTAACGTGAGCAGAGAGCCAGCGCATACAATGCAAAGGAGCCAGGCCAGGACAGTCACAGGCTGAAAGCTGCAGGGAGACCATGACCTCACACACACACACCCCACATGCACATATGCACACACACACACACACATACATGCTCATGTAACACACTTGAATACACACACACAAGGGTGGATGGCCAATAGTTAGGGACTTTTGCACCACTGGGTGCCTCAGGTGACCTCCACACCTGAGATAATCTACTTTTCATCATTCAGCCTTGGGCAGTTTCATCTAAAAATTTTTAAGATTTATTTATTTAATTTTTATTGGAAAGTCAGATATGCAGAGAGGAGGAGAGACAGTGAGGAAGATCTTCCATCTGATGATTCACTCCCCAACATCCACAACGGCTGGAGTTGCGCTGATCCGAAGCCAGGAACCAGGAGCCTCTTCTGGGTCTCCCACACAGGTGCAGGGTCCCAAGGCTTTGGGATGTCCTGCAGGGAGCTGGATAGGATTGGGGCTGCCGGGATTAGAACCAGTGCCCATATGAGATCCCAGTGCATGCAAGGTGAGGAATTTAGCCACTAAGTTACCTTGCCAGGCCCAATATCCTAGGTCATAGTCCCCTTAAGGCCCACTTGCCTAAGTAAGCTCAGTGACCTTCAGGTTCAAATTGTGCACTCACCAATCCCCTGAGGTATTTATCCCTGGTGTGTCCACCTACAGGTGCACCTGCGAATCCCTGACCCCGCACTCCCCACCTCCTGGCTGTAAAAATGCCTCTACCCTTGGTTCTCTCTCTCTCTTCCTTCATGTTCCCTGTCTCTCTCTACTTTGCTCTTCTCTCTCTCTCTCTCTCTCTCTCTCTCTCTGCTCCTGCTTTCTCCTTGCCCCATGGCTACTTCCCCCTGAAAATAAAGACCTCTTTGAAGGACTTACTGCATCTGGCTTTTGGATTTGTGGCAAAAACAAATAAACAAAAACCTAACATTCACTGTTACAGGTCAGAAATGTCTGGTGTTGATACATGGCGCTGGAGACCCATCCTTGCATGCTGCCTTCACTTCTTTCTAAAGATTTATTTACTCAGGCCCGGCGCAGTGGTGCAGTGGCACAGTGGTTAAGGTCCTCGCCTTGCACGCCCAGGATCCCATATGGGCGCTGGTTCTATCCCGGCAGCCCCGCTTCCCATCCAGCTCCCTGCCTGTGGCCCGGGAAAGCAGTTGAGGACAGCCCAAAGCTTTGGGACCCTGCACCCACGTGGGAGACCCGGAAGAGGCTCCTGGCTTCGGATTGGCATAGTATCGGCCGTTGCGCTCACTTGGGGAGTGAATCATCGGACGGAAGATCTTCCTCTCTGTCTCTCCTCTCTGTATATCCGCCTTTCCAATAAAAAAATAATAAAAATAAATCTTTAAAAAAAAAAAGATTTATTTACTCGTATTTGAAAGGCGGAGTTACAAAGAGAAGGAGAGATCGAGAGAAAGAGCTTCCATTCACTGATTCACTACCCAGATGGTCACAATGGCCAGAGCTGAGTCGATCCAAAGCCAGGAGCTTCTTCCAGGTCTCCCACATGAATGCAGGGTCCCAAAGACTGTTTTCCTAGGCCACAAGTCTTGATTGGACAAGGAGCAATGGAGACTAGAACTGGCACCCCTCTGGGATGCCGGTGCTTTTTGGTGGAGTGTTTAGCCTGTTTGAGCTACCATGCCAGCCCCTCTACCTTCACTTCTAACATGTGATGTGATCAAGAGTCTCAAATTCCCCATCTGTAAGCTGAAGCCAAAGACACCCCCATCTTACAGGTTTACTGAGTTAGCCAGGGTAGGCACGGTCAGAATAATAGTTTGGATAGAGTTTGAGTGTGCTCCAGGGCTTTAAGTGTCAAAGTTTAATTTCCATGGTGAGGCAATAAAAGGATAGACACTTAATCTAACTTCAGTATTTACAGGTGAGAATTGGCAGTTAGGATTGGGTAAGGTTGTGGGGGTGGAGCTTCCATGATAGAATACAGATGTCCTTAGGAGCACCGCAGGCAGAAGACACACACAGCACGTGTACACACATGTGCACACCTGCACACATACACGATCCTTGGTTCTTGCTGCGTTACTCC